CAGGCGCCAGCCGAACACGTTCATCGAGGCCTTCAGCAGGCTGGGGGTCTTCTTCTTCTTTCGCTTTTTCTCCACCTCCTTCTCCCACGCCGCGCTCAGCTTGCTGCCCAGGTGATCTGAAAATCATGAAGATTGAGATATCAACAAAATGCACCCAGCCCCAGTGAAGGCAATAAATTATTTCTGACGACGGGAAAATATGGTCTGGTTAGCGATGCCCAGATTATATGCGTTTGAAGATACTGCCAAAACAAACAGCTAAGAATAGAGTTCCAAAACACGTTCTTTTGCGTTGAATTATAATGTATGTGTACTATAACAATTAATATTAATCATAATCTATAACATCAGATTTGGTAAGTGCAGATGCTCTGGACCAAAAATATGTTCACATATTTATATGTACAAGCAAAGATACCGTGCCCCGTGTGCTGTGTGTTCTACTTTAGATCTTTTCAATTGACTGTGAAATACCCCTTATCATTTTATGATACCCATTAAAAGGTAGTATAAAGATTTGTACGAAGGTTCTGCATTTAAGCTATATAATTAATGTTATCTGTTTGATGATAGACATCTTTTCGTCATCAGTTCGGAAAGAATTTTTGAAACTTTTTTTTGGTAACTGGAGATCTATAAAGACTATTCTGATTTAGGAAGTTCAAGAGCATTCTTAATTTTAACTTGGACTGCACTGTTGTTGGAGGTTCTTTTTATATTTTCCATTTTGAAGTGCCGTGTAAACTTATTAAACTTAAATGGCTCGAAATGCAAGCTAATGACATTCTCTCGTGTCGCTCCTAAGCTTGCTACTTACACGCTGAACGGCTGCTCTTTGGAAAGAATTAATACAGTTGACGATTTGGGCGTCCGCTTGGACCCAAAACTTGACTTTATTGATCATATTTCGTCTATGGTGAATAGGGCCAGGGGTGTGCTTGGATTTATTAAACGGTGGTCGAAGGAATTCAATGACCCCTATGTTACTAAATCCTTATATACTTCCTTAGTTCGTCCTATCCTAGAATATGGATGCTGCGTTTGGAGCCCTCAGTACGGCGTCCATAGTAAACGCATTGAGTCGGTTCAAAAGAACTTTTTACTTTTCGCTCTACGCGGTTTAAATTGGGATGCAAACCAAAGATTACCTTCCTACTCTAGTAGACTTCTATTAATAAACTTGCCGTCCTTAGCCAATCGTAGAACGATGCTAGGGATAACCTTTATTTTTAACCTTATCCATGGTGATGTGGAAAGTGCTGACTTGTTGGGTCAGCTTAATTTCCATGTACCATGTAGAACCACTAGATCCTATATCCCATTAGTGTTGCGCCACTGTAGGACCTCCTTTGAACTGCATGAACCTTTTAGAGTGTTATGTGCAAATTATAATGATTTGTACACACTAATCTCTAACGTAGATTCCCTTCCCAAATTAAAATCTTTGATATTAACATACTTAGTAAGCATGCAAGCTAACAATCTGGCAGCACGCCGGTAGTCAATTTTCCTCGTATTCTGTCCTATATTTTCCATCGCGCCTACTAACACCTAACCCAAACAGGCACGTGCCTGGTGTCATACGGGCCACTTGTATGTACTGACCTTAGTGCATCAACGTCCAAGATGAAGTATATTTTAATAACTTTAATTAAAGCATCCTCGGATCCTGCAAACTCCATTAGTAGAATTCATGCTGTCACATTCAGTCATGTCCACAAATAAACAAGTTTATAAGGTTGCGCTACTGTAAGTGATGGCTAAAATCAATTGCTTTATCATTGCAGGCATAACCATGGGCCATAAATCCAGGGAATTGTCAATGGAAGTGCTTTGGTTCGACCGTGAATTATGGCTGGTAACAAACGCAAATCCCGGTCAGCTGCCAGCTGCATTTACTCCAATCGATCTTATCGGCCGGTATCCCCTTAACTCAATTGATTCCGGCACTTCCGCACTAAAGCCTTGAGGGCTTAGATAGCACACCGATTAGAAGGAATTGGAAACAAAAGCTTAAGCTCCTCAGTCGCATATATACAAATGTATATAAATATTTGCCCAGATATGATGGCTATGCTATTATTGTTTGCATTGCATAAGTCCCACTCAATACAGTATCTCTAGGTGCCCATTTATTATAAGTAAATAAGCCTGAGATAGCTAATTACGTATATATCGGGGGTGTTGAATAAGTGTTATCAATTATATTCGGCAGTAAATTCAATTAATTGCGGCAAGCGGACGCTGTCAAAGATATCGGAGTTGTCAAAGTTTTGAATGTGAGAATCAAAGGTCTAAATGTGACAGAGATTGGATATCATCATCGCCATCGCACTCTCGGTGGATCGTATAATTCAATGAATGATGGTGCAGAATGTTCGTATCCAAGGGCTATCTTATCACCGGGATTATAGTTCCGCTTAAAAATCTCAATGAAAGAGTAATGTCATATAGCAATAAGCCAGACGTGAGTGATATGCAGGGGAATCTAATCGCAACTTCCCCATTTGAAGAAGCGGAGAGGCATACAATACTCGCCTGATCCTTCGAGGTTCGGACAAGCGGAATAACCGAAAGCCGTTTCGGTCAGCAAAGGTGGACGCATGCTAAGCCGTATCTAATCGCAATGGTCGGGTGCCTTGAAGTGTCTCCCAGGCACTTCATTTGGGGAGTGTCTGAATGCTATAGATAGTGTGGTAAATATGCCGCTTTACTGATTATATAAATTACAGCCCGGGGCAAGACAACGACCGGCTCGGGTACCAGGGATTTCGTGCGACTAATGTCCATCTTCAGAAAACACTTTAGCGTTGGCCAAAGGGCACTGAAATCGAAACTCGATCATTGCACCCGAGGACGTGGTGAATGGAGTGCCAGACCCACTTATTAGTCACCTCCACCTAAGCCCTCCCACGTTCCATCTCATTAAATCTATGGCCATATGACGTCACGTATGGCTTAATCTCAGTTACGTGCTGATAAGAGTAAGCTCCTTGAAACTAAAAGAAACTTATCAGAGAAACTGCCTTAGCGATTTTAATAATTCAATTAATTTGATTATCGAATGGCCAGAAATTATAGCCATAAATTATCTTGGTCCCGAAATCCCAGCCCCTTACTTATTATGCAAGGCACGCCGGCCGAAAGGTATGCTCTTTTGGGTACTTTAGCACTAAAGTGCAATTACTCACAGAGTATTTTTTTCTCAAGGAACAATGGAGGAGGAGGAGTTCAATCCAATCCAGTCCTAAACTCACCTGATCTATGCTCTTGCAGGGCCCTATATAAATCGCTCTCGTCCAGGGTCTTCTTCCGTCCTTTGAAGAATGTGGGCATGGCGAAGCTAAAAGAATTAAGAATTTACGAATTAAAAAGTTTATTTAAAAGTTGATATATGGAAACTCACCAGAACATCAGGGATGAGAAGATGTTCGACGTCTCGCGCGGATTCTCCGGCAGTTCATCGGCTTTCATTGACTGCATTTTGGTCGTTTGTGTGTATTAACTCTATCGATTTCCTAGGACATTGGTCGGGTCTGTGTCCGGGATGCCGGTTACTCTAAAAAAGGATAAATCAAGCAGAATAGATTAGTAAAGAGTTTGTTTTGTTAGAATCCCAAATGTTAGACATCGATTCTTAAGATTGTGGACGCACGATGAATTGTGCTTTTGTTCTTTTATTATTTTAGCTATTTTTATTAGTGGTTTGTTTTCGTTTGGGGCGATAAAAGCTACGTGGTAAACATGGCCCATATTTTTTTTTTTTTTTAATAAAATTGATGCACACGAATTCTCATGGGAACAAGTCTTTTAAAAAAACGAGGTTTATAATCGACTTAGCAGCCAAAAATCAGTTGGAAAATTCTTTTTCAAAAACTTTAAACTATTTAAAGTCAAAGTTAATCGGTTAAAAATTTAATTAAAATTGATTTTGACCACGAAGACTTTGATTGTTTTTTATGAAATGATGTCACTTTTGTTTTGTAGACTTTATATATTGGTAGAATCCTTTGCAACTTTTAGTTTTGCAACCGACAAGTAATAAAATTCACTTTTCCACTCGAGGCAGCGCACTGTTAGTAATGGGAAAATCCTCCAAGTCGACAACTCACGGTAGCTTTCCACCTTGCGCGGATAAGTCGGCAGCTTCTCGCGTCAAACGAATGGGCGATCGCCAGGTGAGCTTGGCCCTTATATAGGAGCCGGGGCAGCACCTTACTCTCTTGTGCTCTCTCTTATCAAGAGATCACCTGAGAGGGAGCGAGAGCAGACCCACAGATAAACGATGCGAGCAGGAGCACCGACACCCACACCAGTGTACGACAGTTCTTTGAGAGCGGGAGAGCAGCTGTTCCTCCTCTCTTGAGGCTACTGGTGCTCCGCTCTGTTATCACTGGGAAAGCTCTTCTCCGCTGCTGCGTTTGTTTATTGTTTATATTAGCCCGGGGCTCACTACACTTTGTTAATACCTCCAGGTTACGGACACAGCAGGCGGTGGATGCGACGGATGCGGAAATCAAAGTGCGAAGGAAAAACTGAGAACTCCAAAAGTGACGGCAAATCAATAAAACAAATGGGACTTCCTATTGCGATGCTTTTTGTTCTTGTGCTGGGCGTCTCTCTGCCTCACTCTGGCTGGCTACCACGGGACTCGGCGAACGGATATAAAATAAAAACGCGTTTTCCTATTTGATTTGTGCTGAATTTAAAAAATTTGTGCAGAGAAAAACATAAAAACGTTAAACAAGTTCCTGTGCGTGCGCGTCAAATCTGCGCAGAGATGCAAGCGGGCTGTCAGAACGCAAATTTGGCAGATACACAGTCACACTAGAAAGTATTCGTGCACGAACGTGTTGTTGCGTGATTAGGGAATACAAAATGGTAAAACAAAAAGATATCAAAAATATTAATTTGTAAAAATTACGCCTTTAAAATTAATTCGTTTTAAAGAACTATTTATTTGTAAAAATTAGAGTTTTAAATTATAAAATTACTCAGTTGGAACTCGTAAATATTCCATCAAAAATTAGCTATTTATAAAGTTAAAGCTCATTTAGCATCATCTGTGTGCTTATTGTAAATTGATCATTTCTAAAGGTTTAAGATGGATTCGGTTTTACAAACAAAAAACATCACTGCTCTTCAGTTATTTTTAGAATTCAATGATTTAAATACTCTTGATATACAAAATTGTAGCTTTATAAAATATAGTGACTTGTATTATTACCTTTATACCAGCATACAAAAATGCAAGCTTTGCCATCACCAAGATTTGTTTGAATTCAAAATCTATTCGTTTCCGGTGATTATGTAATAAGCGTACTCCCCCGGATCGTCCTCTGTGGGTAGGTATAAAAGCTCTTCAGAAATCTTTTCCTCCACTGGCTCATACTCGATGATTTCGCCCGTATTTGTTTGGACAATAGGGTCTGCATCTTCCAGTTCCTGCAACTTGGCCAGATGCTTTCTAGACTGCACGTGGCGGACGAAGCAGAACTTTCTGGCCGTCTTGTATTCACAGGCTGTGCACTCAAACGTCCCTCCATCAACAGCAATATAGTTGTCGAGCTCCCTATCGATCTCCAGAGAGATGGGCGAATTTTCCTCGTGTGCCGCTCGGTTAACTTCCTCCACTCCTTCATCCTCTTCTAGAGGGGCAAACTCAATGAACTCGCTTTCATCCGCTATGTTCTGCATGTTCTGTATGTGCTGAGGAGTCTTATTGTGTCGCGCCAGGTGTAATTTTTGGGTGGTACTGTAATCGCAGAGCACGCAAGTCAATACCATGTTGTCTCTCTCTTTTACAGTATAAAGCGCTGGTTCTATAAGCTCTAGGCTTTCCATCTGCGAAGTTCCTGCCTTCTTCTGCGCCAGCTTCTCCTCCTCTTCTGCCGCTTGCTCCCTTCGTATGTGGCGCACCGATCGCACGTGCCGAACGAAGCAGAACTTCTTGGCTGTAGTGTATTTGCACAGTTTACAAAAAAACGGCGGTCGATCAATGTCAGAATCAGAGTCATCCGAACAGTAATCGTAGTCCAAGTGTTTCATAGAACGTTTATGGCGGCGCATATCTCTTCTTCTGTCCGTCTGGTATGTGCAGCCGTCGATATTGCACATCAGTCGTTTGATCTTCCATGGCGGCTCCTCTTCCTCATCTACGAGCGGTTCGATCTCAATAACTAAAAGGAACAATGCAGTCAATCTTCACATAGCTCTCTGCCGCTTCAGTTACTCACTTTCCGTTTCGTTATTGTAATTAAAATCAAGGGAATCAACCTGCGACATTTTGATAAATAATAAATGAAACCAAAACAATCCAATTGTGCAGCAGTATGCCCGAAGATGACAAAATACCTTGCAGCAGAGTTTTAGTATTTTAAAAAAAAAAAATTTTCTTTCCTGTGCTGTAGTCTGGAAAAAAATTAAAATAGAATATATATTATTTAAAAATTATTATATATATTAATAATATATATATAAATATATACATATTTAGATATATTTTTTATGAACAGTAAATTTAGAAATTCACGAATGCCCTACAACAATTTGTAAATACCACTTGTTACACAGCCGGTGCCCAACTCTGGCCACATTATACATTTTTAATATTCTTTTAATTTGCGAACTATTTTTTACTCTCGATTTTAACCCGTTTTTATGCAATATATCTTAACAATTTAAGCATTATCCAACACACATCTACCATGCAGTCCGTGCTCACCCGCTCGCTGAATATTGGTAAGACATGACCACCAGTGGACTTTGATCTCCGCAGCCACCAAGCAATATTTGTATATGCAAGATCCTTGTGCTGATATTGGAGATCTTTTCAGCCCGAAGATCGTTAAATGTCCGTCAGATTGCCTCCCTTTCGGCACTGCCAGACACTCATCAGATGCTCCAGAAGACCTGTCGGGACTTTGCCAACTGTGAGCTGAGTGGAAATGCTGCAAAATTCGATCGGGAACACCTGTATCCGGAGAAGCAAATACGCCAGATGGGCGAGCTGGGCGTAATGTCAGTGGCAATACCCGAAGAGTTGGGTAATGATAGTTAAGCCCCTAATACAGTCCATTTATAATCATATTTCCATCAACAGGTGGCACCGGTCTGGATTATGTGGCCTATGCTATTGCCATGGAGGAGATCTCACGCGGTTGTGCCTCCGCTGGTGTTATCATGTCGGTAAATAACTCCCTGTACCTGGGACCCTTGCTATCTTTTGGAAACGACGTACAGAAGAAAGCCTACATTACACCCTTCACAACCGGCGAACGTGTCGGTTGCTTTGCTCTGTCGGAGCCTGGAAACGGATCAGATGCTGGAGCTGCCTCCACTAATGCCACTGACAAGGGTGACCACTTTCTACTGAATGGAACTAAAGCGTGGATTACCAACGCCTTCGAGGCTGAGGCAGCCATTGTGTTCGCCACCACCAACAAGCAGCTGAAGCACAAAGGCATCTCCGCGTTCATAGTTCCCAAGGGTACTAAAGGCTTCTCGCTGGGCAAGAAAGAGGATAAGCTAGGCATCCGTGGATCTTCTACCTGTCAGCTTATATTCGAAGACTGCGCGGTACCCAAGGAGAACATGCTGGGCGAGCCTGGATTCGGATTCAAGATTGCCATGCAGACTCTAGATGCCGGACGCATAGGAATCGCTGGACAAGCTCTTGGCATAGGTCAGGCGGCCCTGGAACTTGCCGTGGACTACGCCCAGAAGCGACAGGCCTTTGGAAAGCCCATCTCCAAGCTGCAATCAATTCAGCAGAAGATTGCAGACATGTCGTTGGCCATGGAGTCTGCCCGCCTGCTTACGTGGCGCGCTGCCTGGCTAAAGGATAACAAGCAACCATATACCAAGGAGGCCGCAATGGCTAAACTGGCTGCCTCCGAGGCTGCCACCATGTGCTCCCACCAGTGCATTCAAATTCTGGGCGGAATGGGATACGTGACGGATATGGCCGCCGAAAGGCATTACCGAGATGCTCGCATCACAGAGATCTACGAGGGTACCTCCGAGATCCAGAGGTTGGTCATCGCTGGTTCCATTCTCAAGGAGTATGCTAATTAAGAAGAGTTTTTACGTAGAATTAAGTCAAAAGTTTATTGATAAATGTAAATCTTTTTAAACAAAAATTATTTTTTGATTGTAACTATTGTCCTGCTGTAAAATGTGAATGGGTAAATAGGAATCTTGTGTCGTATTTTTTGTGTCAATTAAAAGATTTAACATAAATTGATTTAAAATATATAGATTTACATAATTATTGCTGTTTCAAAATTTCAAATTTATAATTTTTAACGGTTCTTATAAGAATTTATATATTTACCTATTCCGTCTGATTAAATTGCAGTAGGCGGTTTGTTTTAGTATATTCTTCGCAGTTGGTGGTATATTTTAAAGCAAGCTGAAGCCTGGTCACACTGTGCGCCGTCCAGCGCATTTTCTAGATTTCCTTATTTATTGATATAATTTTCCGTTCCGCGGCAATTATCGCGATGCAACTGCAGCAAGTATGTGGTAATGAGACTGTTTACCACTAAGGTACGCGCGTTCGCCGAAAAGAAAGTGCGCTAATTGTCCGAAATCCGTCCAAAAACAGTGTGAAGTGAGCAGAGTGCCAGGAATAGCTGCGGGCAGATCGAATCGAATTGGATCCGAATAGCGATGGATGTGGTGTGTGTAATCGATACCGCCGTGGGCGATCATCTGGAGGACCGCATCTGTGCGCTGGAGGAGATCAAGCAGGCGGTTCAGGCAGCGGGAGCCAATTTTCAGCGGGTCCAGGTGCGAGGGTGGTTATACAATTTTGGCATTCCATATATCGGTGTGCGGGGGCAGTAGCCTGCGATCTGAATTCGAACCACTCTCCCGTTGCAGTTCGAGCGCCTCGACTTTGGGGAGACGAATGTGCTGGAGACGTTTTACAACGCCGATGTGGCCGTCATCGATCTGAGCATCCTCACGCAGCAGCGACCGCTGTCCTATCACTATGGTGTGCGGGAGAGCTTCGGGATGAAGGAGAACATCTTAATCTACAACGACGTGGAGTCCAAGCAGACACTCAGTCTCAAGGTGCGTATTATTTACCTGTCCCAGTCCGTCTGGGAGATCCGCAAACATCTTAAGGCGTGATCGGTTCGGTTTCCGATAAGATAAATGCCCAGCTAGGTGTGTGTTTGCGCTTACCTTTAAAACGGCAGCCAAGTCGTGACTCCCTGCTGTTGTTGCTGCCGCTGCTGCTGATCTTTCTATTTCCGCCGAACTGTTTTCGTTATTTTTGTTTTGGCCGCGGCAATAAAACAACAAAAGCGAAGGCTCCAACAATAACAATAACAAATGCGAGCGCGCCCACGCAAACACTCAAAGAGGCACGCACACACACTCACACAGACGCCGACACACGCCAACGCAGTGTGGGCCTGCATTCACAGTGGTGGCAATAAAATTGACCACACATCACATATAAGCTGATCCCCTCCACTCCATTGCAGCTCTCCTGTGCCAACTACTTTTTTCTCAGCTACAAATTGAATGCGGAGAGCAATTCCTGCCATCTGACCAACCTTTTCAACAACAACAAGGAGCCCTCGGCCGAGGGTCGAGTGCCCACATTGCAGTGGCGTCTCAAGCGAAAACTGCAAGATGTGGAGATCCAATCGAAGTAAGTGTATTTCCCATATCCCAGCCATCAACTAGGTCATCCAATGACATTGAAAGTAATATATCTTCCGGAAAACCTAGCAAAATTCCCCTATAATATATATTTTTCGATTTTCCACAGAGCACACATGCGTGAGAAATTTCTCAGCGACATGCGAACGGCGAGGGATACGTATGCCACCAACGGCGCCAAGCTGCAGAGCATCCTCCACGAAATGCGAAAGCGATTGGATGATCCGCATGTCCTTTCCGGTGAGGTGGTGCATAGCTTTATGTGCTCGCTGAGGGATGTCCAAGACTACGACGCCATGGTGCGACTGGTCAACGACCTGAAGAATATCCCAAACACCCGCAAATATGTGGAGACAGGCAACATGAGTTTCTTGTACGCCTTTGCCCTGAACCGGAGAAATCGGAAGGGTGACAGGGAAAAGGCCCTTGAATCCTCGCTTAAGGCTCTGGAGAAGAAAGAGAACCATTTTCCGGATATGCTCTGCCTTTGTGGGCGCATCTACAAGGACATCTTCGTCGAGTCCGACTACACAGACGCCACTAGTCTGGCCCAGGCCATCAAGTGGTACCGCCAAAGCTTCGAGGTGCAACCGAATGAGTATGCGGGCATTAATCTGGCCACGCTGCTGGTGATCGAGGGCAAGGAGTTCAGTGACACGGAGGAGCTGCAGCACATTGGCATGACCCTGAACAATCTGATCGGCAAGAAGGGAGCTTATCCTCGCTGAGCGAGTATTGGGACGTGGCCACCTTCTTTGAGATCTCTGTCTTGGCTAAGGATTATGCCAAGGCGATTCAGGCGGCCGAGTGCATGTTCAAGTTGAAGCCGCCCAACTGGTACCTGAAGTCCACCATTGGAAACATATCACTCATTCACCGGTTCCGCAAGCAGCCCGAGGAACGTCTGCCCGCCATTGAGGAGCAGGTCTTTCAGTTCTGGATGGACTTCTTCCTAGAGGCTACGAACACGGAAGAAGTGAAAAACAGTATTCGGTTCCCCATACTGGTAATAATCTATCTGTTATCTTCTATCGATCGTTTTATTAACGAATATATTTTTTATTCAACAGATTCTTGAGCCACAGAAGATCTACATGCCCAGTTACGTAACGATAAACATGGATGCGGATGAGAAATCCATACAGATCGTAAACATCTGCTTGGCCCACACAAAGAACGCATGTAAGAGGCTGCATGACTTCCTGTTCGTGGCCTCCAAGATCAAATCCGTGAGTCTGTACAAACGGGATGATCGCTGCGCCTATCTGTATGTGCATCACAACTCGGACGACTTTCAAATATACTTTCCCTCCACCGAGTGTCGGCAAAAGTTCTACGACCTGATACTGGAGATGACCGCCGATCAGGTGGTATTTGTCAATCTCAGCAACGATGAGGCGCAAATCGAGGTGGGTAATCTTTTTTAATTATTATTTAAAAGGTTTAACCCAAAATCTTCAATTGCAGTACGAGTACGACTATGACGATCAGAACCGAAAGATGGTGCTGGGTAAGGGAACGTATGGAACCGTGTATGCTGCCCGCGACAGGCAGACGCAGGTGCGAATTGCCATAAAGGAAGTCCCGGAGAAGAACTCCCAAGACGTACAGCCCCTGCACGAAGAGATCAAGCTGCACTCGCAGTTGCGGCACCGAAACATCGTTCGGTACTTGGGCTCGCGATCAGAGGACGGCTTCTTCAAGATCTTCATGGAGCAGGTGCCGGGAGGCTCGCTGTCCGACCTGCTGGAGACCAAGTGGGGTCCGCTCAAGGACAACGAGTCCACCATGGCCTTCTACTCCAAGCAGATCCTAGAGGGCCTGAAGTATCTGCACGAGCAGGACATCGTACATCGCGACATCAAGGGCGATAACGTGCTGGTTAACACATACAGCGGCGTGGTCAAGATCTCCGACTTTGGCACCTCCAAGCGGCTGGCCCGCATTAATCCCATGACAGAAACGTTCACAGGTACTTTGCAATACATGGCACCGGAGGTAATCGATCAGGGTGTGCGTGGGTATGGTCCTGCGGCCGATATTTGGTCTTTTGGTTGCACCAATGTGGAGATGGCCACCGGAAAGCCGCCGTTCATTGAGTTGGGCTGTGCCCAGGCGGCCATGTTCAAGGTGGGCTACTACAAGAAGCACCCCAACATACCCGAGGAGCTGTCACCCAACGCCAAGAACTTTATCCTTCGCTGTTTCGCCATCAGTGTGCTAGACCGTCCCTCCGCCTCGCAGTTACTGGACGATCCCTTTCTTGCCGAGTAAGTGCCTGACAGCGTGTTCCTTACTGGCATTTCTTTATATATATTCTGGTGTATTCAGTAAACAACGCAAGTTGCGCCCGGTTCTTCCTATCAACACGGAGTTTGGACGCAGCATTTCTGTGCCCGCCGATCGTTTGGTCCACAAAACAACACCGCCGCTGAGTTACAACACCACTTGCAACACGCCAACTACGCCAGAATTGGAGTAAGTTTTTACTCAATATATTTATATTTAATTGCGCTTTTAGTTATATCGTCTTCTATTCTAATCGCGTTAAATTTCTATAGTATATATATATGGGTTGTTGTTATCACTCAACAGCCTTATTAGTGATAAGCCAAGGGCGCATTTAAGTTTGAAAGTCAGGAGGGCAGCATGCAACCTATTCTCAATGAATATTGATATTAAATTAGAAATTAACCTTTCCTATTCCAGCATTACTCACACTTCTTCAGTGGACATTGACGAGCTGCCCAGCAACCAGTTCCTTCTGGAGAGACGCAACTCTTCTGGCTTTCTGCTCTCGCCCGAGATCGAACCAACAACGCCGTCCCTGCGAACGAGCATCAGTGAAACGAGTGAGACTGACGGCTTCTATAGGCTGAAGAAGGATTCACAGCGCAGGACAACTTTGTCCAAGGTGCTGGCTCTCGATGAATCCAAGATCTGCGACATTTGGCTTAAGAAGGTGGAAGCCGATCAGAATGCAATTGCTATTCGGAAAAGTGACCTCGAGGTGCTAATCCGTGGCCTGCGGGACTACATCATGAACGAGAACGAGAAGCACTTGGAGGCAACCATCAACGAACTGAAGCAAAAATTGAATAACGACGCTGTTGCCTTGGACCATCTTCATCTGGCGCTGTACTCCTTTCAGGACGCGGTGGTCTGCGTGCTGCGATTACACTGCATCAAACCTCACTGGATGTTTGCCCTCGATAATCTTGTGAAAAGGGCCGTCCAGGCAGCGGTTACTATTTTCTCTCCTGAATTGGGCGCCAATCTGGCGGATAAGGATCTGTCTGGCAACGATGACGAGAGCGTGCACACCAGCTTGATGCAGCAAGGCTCCACAGACAGCCAGGAAAAGCAACATCAGAGCCTGGATAAGGTGCTAGCCACGAGTAGCACAGGCGGAGGCGTCGGATTGATGCCAGCAGAGTCCGGGGGCGACGCCCTAAATACCTCGGTGGAGTGTGTCCGCATTTTAAGGGACATACGGGATCATCAACAAAAATTGCAACGTCAATTGATTGAGCAGCAGCGCCAGAGCATGAGGGCCCTGCACAACATTAGCCAAGAGTTGGCACACATATACATGGGGGGAAGGAAAAGATTAAGGTGAGTAGTGCTAATAACAAATCTTTAAGACTTCAAACCCATTTTTTATTCGCTTTGCCCAGGCGTACTATCAATGGATTTAATAAGAAGTGCCATAGAATGAGTCCCAGTGTGGGCGGAATCTCCGGTGTCCGTCCCTCTTCAGCGGGCAATCCACGGAGGCAGCAGCTAAACAAGCAACACTTTGGTCTCCACGAGGTAGACGAGCAGTTGGAGCAGTGGCTGACCCAGCAGGACATAGATGAGTTTTCAAAGACGCTCATATTAAATGAGGGTTTCACGTTTGAGGATTTCATCTACAACATGGAGAAGCTGGACCTCATGAGGCTGGGACTGCGGTGAGTTTAAAACTTAGAAATGTGGCCAGACAGATATCCATTTTTAATCAAATACTTGCAGCGTTGGCATCGAAGTGCGTTTGTGGAAACTCATCATACAGGAACGAGCCTGCACCTCATCCGATTGCGTGGACAGTCCAGCCAGCACTTACCACAAGCCCATTGGCGGCCATTGTTCCTTGGCACTGATCGACAATAACAATACGTTACCATCACCCACAACGACAACACCTGGAACGCCAGGCATCAAAACGAAAATCAAAAAGAGTGAAAGCGAATACGATTCCTGCAGCGAGTGACCATCTAGATGTCCCGATGGATAGTTGTGCCTTAACAGATACTATTGATGCGGATTAATTGTTGTAATTAATGTTGTCCATATGCTACTAACAGCTGTGAAGCTCAGTGAGATTCCCAGCCACCTTGATGTGGAACTCTTGGGTTAGGCAGACTTGCGGCTGATTCAACTCGGAGTTGGGCAAGCCATAGGTCCGCTTGCCAAGCGTTTTGCCATTGCATGTTAATTTATCAAACAAAATGGAATTTAAGTGCCTTTAATTTAAAAAAAAAAGAAACAAAAACTGAAACGGAAAATACATTGTGAAGTGCTTTACAAAAACTAACTAAAAATTGATTATTTGAGTTCTTTATCTTACCAAGAGGTTTATGTTAGAAAATTGGAAACTATGAACTTCCCAATGGCAAGAGAAGAAACACTTCGAGTAACTTTTCTAGTTCGTTTGCATTTATTTTGTTTGTTTTTTTTTTTGTTAAGCTTTTGTTGTCTTTAATTGACATTGCAGAAGATTTAATTATTGAGTTTACATTGATTTTTGTTATGTAAGAAATTTGCATAATTTTTTGTTCATTGTTATTGTTGTTTTTGATGTTATTCGAAAGCGTTTCGTTCTGTTGCTGCAGTTGTTCTTGCCGTTGTTGTTGTTGTTTTTGTTGCTGTTGTTGTTGCTGTTGTAAATAGTTAGATGTTGTTGTTGCTGTTCTGGTTGTTGCGCCAAAGGATTTATGCCTTGGACTCGGCCTCGCTGGCGGTGGCCTGGGACTGGGCATCGCTGGACTTGCCATCGTCGACCTTGCCGAACACGCAGCAAGGGCACTTCTCCTTGAGGGCCAAGCGGTATTTAGGATGGCTGGATGAGAAAGGAATCTGTCATGGACTGGCGAAATATATTGTATAAGGATCCACTCTCACCTGATGCCATATACAATGGGGTTGTAGCAGGCGGCCGACTTGGCGAAGCAAGCTCCCCAGATGGTGTTCAGTGGTGTGAGGCCCTCGAACTTGAACAGGCCCATGCAGTTGATGACCAGGTATGGAGTCCACGCCATGAACCACAGGGTGATGGTGACCAGGGCGACCTTGGCCAGCTTGCCCTCAGCGCTCTTCTCGGCATCCTCAGAGGAGCGGAGGGACTTGACATTCATCTTCTTGGCCTGCTCGCGCATGGCCTTCTCGTGGGCGGATACAGCCTAAGGGGGAGGGCAGTAAGGATTAAGTACCCCCTTTTGAGTGGACAACCCATTGATAACTTACAGCAATGATGAACCAGTAGGAATAGCAGATCAGGAACAGCGGAATATAGTAGACGAAGATCGAGTAGAAGATCAGGTATGAGCGTGGATTCCAATCGCGCTCCAAGTAGTCAATACCGCACGATGTCAGGTTACCCTCCGGCACGTACCTGTAAAATTATTAAGGGTATATTTTTAGGAAATAAAATAGGTCTAGTTTATACTTTTCTTCAATTTTGTATCAGAATATAATATAAACCACAACTTTCACTCGAGGACACTCACCTACTCCAGCCGAAGGCGGGCGCCAGGCACCAAATGCTAGACATGAACCAGATGTAGGCTATTTTGCCCAGGGCCAATGGAATGGTCATCGGCCTGCCGGCCATGCCCTTGACAATCACTTGGTAGCGGTCCAGCGAGATCATGCACATGGACCAGATGGAGCTGCAGCCAAAGGCCGAGCCCAGTCCGGCATAGATGTCGCACATCATTGGGCCAAGCACCCAGGTCTCGAAGTACAGATTGATGCCCATCATGGGCGTATTGGTGATCATGATGCCAAAGTCGGAGATGGCCAGATTGATGACCAGCAGGTTAGCGGGCGTGCGCAACGACTTGGTGGTGGCGAATATGTAGATCACCACGCCATTTCCGCACCAGGAAATCATGCCGATCATGATCATGTAGGCTGTGAGGATCTTGGCCCAGATGGGGTCCATGGCGGGGAACTGGTTCCAGTATGGGCTGATGAGGTGGGCCATATCAGGGGTAACCTTGTCCACCACCGATCCATTGGACAGGGGGGCAAAGTGTGGCCCCAGTTGCGCGGCTGCTACTGCAAAGCTGCAACATCGGACCAAATAATTCCAAAATTATAAATGATTTACTCCCAGCGGATCAGGCCGTACCTCTCCATTGTGTTTTAGGTTCCTGGCTGCGTCACTATATCCCGCCTATATCACACTTTCTACATAAAAAGCTGCAAATTCACTAATAATATTTCAAACACTTTTTACATAAAGGATGCCTGAGTTCTGAATATTTCACTGGGGCGGACTATTCGCGGCGATTGGTCGTTGGAAACCTGCAACGCCTGCATTTCGGGCCCTGGCTTTTATAGTTTCTCCCGCCAGCCAAGAGCCCCTGCAGTTCAAATTCAATTAGCCAAAAATATACAAAAGTATATGGAAAGTGTACAGAGGAAAGTGTCGACGGACGGCTTTTGGCTTATAATCATAATAACCATAACAAAGGCGCACAAGAGCGGCTATCGCAATGGGCCAATGTCAATAGTTAAGTTCTTGCCGATGCCACATTTCAAAGGCTTCCGAGAACAGCTCTGGCCGAGCTTTAATTTTTGATGACATTGTGACATAAGGGGGCTGGTGAAGAAAGTAGCATATTTAATATGTCAATGCTCAATATGATTTCAAACGAAATGGTCAAGCAAAGAAAAACTAAGTAGCAGAGAGATTGTCAAGGTGCTGCCACAGTGCGTATGCGCAATTAAGTATACGCAGTGTGTGCGTTGTGATGGAGGAATGTTGCCTGATTACTTGATTTTAAACCCTTGACTGTCTCACAAGCCATTAAATAATCTCTTAAAATGACCAAAAATTCTTAAGCTCTAAGCTGCTTATGGATTTTGCTGAAGCGATCGATCTATTCGCACCTCCATTGTCAAGTCCAAACGAATTTTCCACCCATATGCTTTGGGGCTTTTGTTTGGGAATTAAAAGGGTATATTTGTGATAACTCAGAAAACAGTCCGATTTTTCATTTCTATATGTATTTGATTACTTAAGTTCTTATATTCAGGAACATTTTCTTGTAAGAAACTTATGAAACCAAAAATAAAACTAGTTTATTATTTCAATATAATATAAAGATAATTTTTCTTTTAATATATACGTTTAAAAAAGCAAAATAAAGCTCACAAAAACTTAGTCTAAAACTTAGTACCAGGTATTCTATGGTCGTGTCACTGGTCTTTAGAGCACTCTATTTTGTGTGTGTGTGTGGGATGCTTGCATTTATTTTTTGTCAATCCAACTTTGGCATAAAAGCCTTTTGTTCGCTTCGTGCGACCGCTCAACACATTCGGCTGAATTGGGTCAAGTTTTAGGCTAATCCAGCTGGCCGGGATGTCACGCTTAATGCCCAGCCCTAATATGGAACTTAACCGAAATAACTGTCACTCCATGTGACAGCCGACACATGTTAGGCTTGGCAGATCTTTCGGTTTAAATCAATTACATATACACCGCAAAACAATACAAAAAAAGATGCTAATAAATATATAAAGTTAGACGGCAAAATACCTAAATAAATGCTAAAGCGCAAAACCGGAAGCTGGACTCAGATCATCATCGTCATTATGATCATTACGGTCGCTATCGGCGTCATCGTTAGCCGCACTTGCGGTTCCTATATGTCTGTTGTGTGGGTGTGGGGGCTTTGCGTGTGAAATTGTTTTAAAGAAAAAAATAGTATTTAAAACATGAATCGCATTTGAATTTATTCCACATATTCGGGTTTCTGTAGACAAAACGAAAAGTCACCCGCCCACCTGCTAAATAGCATAAACATAGCAAACCTACAAAATGGGTACAGCAACAAATAAAATCGAAGAAAACAGCAAATAAAGCGACGGCTCACTGCAACAAACATTGCGAGGAGGATGAAGGAGAAGCACAAGACAATCATTTAGCATTAGCAAATAAGCAAGATAAACGCTTCGATCCGTGGCTGTTGTTGTTTTCCTGCTCAATGAGGCAGACGAAACTGAAATTGGAGAAGAAAGAGTAAATTTGGGTGACGCTTTCAATGCCCTGCAGGTGCTAAAGAAATTACTATAGTTTTTAAATTCCTTTTTAATGTATTCTAAAATGATGTTACAAAATGTAAGATAATACAACTAAGACCAACTATTTGTTGCATACTTATTATTGCATAGACTCAAAGCGAGTTTCAAACTCTAGCAATTTTTGTGAACATTTAATAATAATTCTAAAATTTAAAATACTACAAAAAACGGTTCTTGTTTTTATAGTTAAAAAGGTACAGAATATATTTAAATGCTTTTATTAATATTTATTCAAGAACGTAACCTAAAATTGTATCTAATGAGTGTTTGTTCCAATAATCTTATATTTAATATAAATAAATTATATTCTAATATAAATAAATGTTTATAAATAAAGACAAAATACTGAGGTTTGTTAAACCACCCTCTTAATTTTGTATTTAATGTTTTCAAAACCTTTCTTAGTGATATTCAAATTGTGCTTTCGAATAATATCTAAATAACCCATTCTTTACTTCTTTCCAATTCGCACGCTTTGTCAAAGCTGCCATGTGAACCATGACTCCCAGCCTCCAGGGCACAGTGTATAATTAACAAACACCTATGATTTGATTTTTGTATTTTCTATGTTCGACAATGGATCGGCGCTCGCCAGTGTGTGCGTCTGTCTGTCTGTGTGTGTATGTGAGTGGGTAAACGACGGCAAGTGTTCTGCCGGCGTCGCTGCTTTTGGCGCAGCGCCGTCGTGTGGGGGTAAGTGAGAGAATGTGCAGAGCGGGAGCAGCTGCTCAAAGAACGCCAAAAGTAATGAGCGCATCGCTCTCTCACTCAATCGGATAGTGATGGCACCCCCAGGCATTAGATGACAATATTTATATTTCGAAAGTGAAGGTGACTTTACGATTGCAAAATATTGTTTAATTTATTGGACAGATTTTAAAACATAAATTATTAGAAATATCCTTCAGGGGAAATTGTCTTTTGAATTGATTTTTTTGTAAAAGTAAAGTTATGCTGTCAGTTCTTACTACTTTCCCATATATCTATTATATCCTTGATCTCCTGAACTTAAATAAACTAAAGTTAATTTAATTTCCTAATAGTCCCAAAATATTATGACGGCATCACTGATCGCAGGTCGCGAGTGTGTGGGAGCGCTCGTTCTTGGTGGCTGCGAGTGTCATTAGCGTAGTTGCAGCAGCAACAGCTGAGATCACCTAGCAAGCACTCTCACTCACTCATCCGTTCGCTCTATCGTTCGCTCTCAGTACCGTTCGTATTGGATCTCGGAGGCTGATGTTATTTTCAGCGGCTGAAGATTTACAGTAAAAACACGGACCCAAGCAGCAGCGCGTGCACCGCTATACGCTCAGTTATACGAAATCTCCGATTTTTGAGGGCTGCTCCGCTCCGTTCTGATCTGTTGGCTGTTAATTTTAGACTTGCCAAGCGGAAGCTTGCCAGAGTTTTCCAAAATATTCAACGGGACGGCCGCCGCGTGTGTTTTCCTGTTCGGTCATCATCGTCATTGCGAATTTCACCCAAAAAGAAGGAGGCGAAAGTGTCGTGCCGCGAAAATGCCGATTAACCTCTGCTCGGCACGGGTTGGTTAATTAATTAATGACGGAATCTCTCGGTGTCTCAGCACGCCGTTGTCGTCAGCACGCGCGCCTCCGGGCCTAAATGCAATTAAAACATTAATAAAGGCAGACAAAAATCAAAACTATACATACATATGTACGTCACACGCACCACCACAGCCTCATGCAGACACACACCCCGCGGCATATGTAAAGTGCACTAGGTGTGTGTGTGTTTGTGTGTGTGCAGCAACTACTTCGTAATTTATTTTCGAATAAATAGTACAAAGTTGAAGAAGCAGCAGCCTCAAACGCAGCTCCCGGTCTCATCCCGTCGGGCATTTCCCAGCATCCACGATCTCGCGTCTTCGTCTCCGTCTCCGTCTCCCATCCCTTGCCCATACCATCCCCACGTAAAAACGGCGAAATAGTACAAAACACCGCCCCAACGGCATCGATGCAGCAGCGGTCAAGCTAGTAGCAGCGCCAATTTAATTTGTAGCATCTATCCCATGGATTACTCACCCCAGTATCTTTAGAAAATGATGTTTGTCTAAATGGTTATCGCAGCTATTTATCAAATTAACATCCAATTTGCCTATAAACTTTTTCTATATGGTTTACTACCTGTATTTACGTTTAATCATGCTGAATTCCTTCCCTAAATTGAATTAAAACAATTTGTAGAATTCCTATGCATATTAGGAGCTTGCAAAAATTTTAAAAACTATTGAATTAGTATCTAGATATGTAATTAATTAGGAAAGTCACGTGGAAAATCTGTGGAAACCATCCCTAGTTCCTTATTCTTTCGACCAACGTTGTCCTATCTTACGCAGGCACAGTGGGCTGCACTTGGATTCAATTACCTCAATTGATTAATGTTTTGTTTGTTTACAAATGCTATCCATATAGAATGCAGAGATGACTCAACGTGACGCGATAATTGGCCATTTTTTTAGTGCTTAAGGTGTGAGGTCATTAATTAATCCAACGATATGATAATTGTTCTTGACAGCTGTCACTGTGTTTTCAATACAAATTGACCTGCAACCACTGTGTCCGCCGTGTGTACGCGTCTTACGTACGGAGGAGAGTATCTGCTCGATATTCCGCTGATGCGATGCCTGGTCCCGAACCCATATATCCGTGTATACTTTCGTGGGGTGCGTGTGTCGGTGTGTGTGTATGTTTCGGATTCGGCGGCGTCTGAAATAAACGAAATAGGAAATTTTGGTATTTTCTTTTATATAAATAGATTTCGCCATACGCAGTCTCTACGGAGAAAAGTTGAAAACGCTGAAAATGTGAAAAGTGAATGAAACGCATGTGAATCTCGAGCGCAACGCAACAAAGCGAATTAAATACGGAACAAATTAAGAATTTAATAAATTATTGAAATGAAAATGTGAGCAGTGAAAATGTGATTTCCAAAAAACAACTCATATAGAGAGAGAAAGAGACGCGACAACTTAGTAGTAGTGACACACAGAGAGCTTTCGAGATACTACATCAAAATGCAGGCCAATTCGAGCACCACCACAACAACCACGACCACCAAGACCAAGAAGCTGAGCAGCGGATCGGCGGGCAACGTGATCAGTTCCGTGGCGGTGACGAGTGCCATCAAGACGACCACCACCACACGCAAGCCAGCGGGCTCTGGAGCGGGCGCCAGTCCCAAGTCGTCCCCCAAGTCACCTGGCTCCAGTGCGCCCGTCTCCGTCTCCGACATCGATTCTAATGCGGAGATCGCGGAGCTGTCAAAGAAGATCAACGAGCATGCCGACGCCATCTATCACACGTGGAAGAGCCGGGGTATTCCGCCCCCGGAACTGCTGCAACTATACACAAATGCCGGAGGAGCCGGAGACTTGTCCGACGTGGCTTCTCCCACGGCAGATACCGAGGGCCTCAAAAAGATGGTCACCAGCTTCGTGAACAAGGACAAGGAGCAGCGGGGCAAAACCAATAGCCTCAAGAAGTCCGAAATCACAACCAATGGCAAGGTGAAAAAGGCATCTTCTCCTGCAACCTCCAGCTATACATCCGTCCCCGAACCAGCCCTGCAGTCACCCAAAAAAGTGGCCGCCATTTCCACCAGCAAAGCCTTGCCCGATGTCAATCTCAACTACGACATAAACCTGCATCTGGACGTCAACAATCTGTCACAGCAGCAGACGCACAACCTGCTCAAGATCAGCGAGTTGATCCAGCAACAGAAGGATTCACCGGCGACGACGGCCACTGCCAAGAAGCGCCAGAGCAGCAAGGCCGCCGCCACCAACAGCAGTAATTCCCTGGGCAGCAGCAGCAGCAGCAGCGGCAGTAGCCAGAAGCTAGCAGCTTCCGAGCAGCCCACCAAGAAGCAGAGCAAGGCCGGCATCAATGGCAGCAGGAGCGCGAGCGGGCCAGTGGCTGTTAGCATAGACGTGGTGGATGCGCCCGCCACGAGAGCGGTGACTGTAGCCAACAGCAGCAACAGCATCGCTGTGAGTGATAAAGGCAACGAGCCAGCGACCACAAGTCGCAAGTCAAGCAAAACCAAAGAAAACAGTGCCGAAGGCAAGCCGGCAACCAAAGAGAAGCCAACGGCAACGGCAGCAGGAGCAACTGCAGCATCAGCAGCGATTGTAGTCACACGCAAGTCAACAACAAGTCGTAGCGCCACTGATAACGCAGGCCACACGGCTGCAAACGCACCAGCAACATCGACATCAGCAACATCAGCAACATCGATGGATGCAACGCCAGCAACATCGGGCAGCACAACGATGCCAACGTTGAATAAAGTCAAACCGACGAGCGGGGCGCGGGCGGCCCTCGCCAATGGCCAGGACAAGAGTAATATAACCGAATCCCTCTCCATTATAAACGTGTCCACACTCCAGGCGTTCCGTTCCGTCTACTTCCAGTTAACCTCCTCACCCGCGGCTCCGTGGCCGAGCGCGTGCTCATGTTTGAGAAGTGCCCGGATGTGCGGCACTCGTTTCTGAACATCAAGCGCCCGCAGGCGGACACTGCGCCCAAGAGTCTCCTCAAGGTGAGTGTTGTTCAATGGAGAATATTACGGGAATTCGCATCAATTTGCAGGTCGATAATCGTGTGCTCGGGGTGTTATCTAACAGTTGAAAATGCCAGAAGACACTGTGAAAAAAAAATAGGCACTACCCCTCTACCCATCGCCACAACCCCTCAGAAGATCGAGCAATTGCAATTGCAATTGCACATTTGTTTTCTTTCGGCTCTTTGTGGGCCGCTGTTATCGGTGCGAGTGCGCTGCATCATTGATTGATTTAAGGTTACCTCAAGACGCCACGAGACGAGAAACGCTTGCCAAATGGCTGGGGAGGATCGGTGGGGGCTATATTAGAACCCAGTGAGAGTGAAAAGGGTTAGACCACACGAGGCAGATTCCATTCGGAACTTGAGTCACAAGCTCAGCTTTGAAGGATCAAAAATCTAAACAAAATAATTGCAAAGCAGCAGAAAAATAATGGGAAAACATCAACAAATTTACTTTGAGAACCTCGATCGAATTCCATTCCAGACTGATGCATGTTTTAAACCATTCTATTCATTTTTATACCCTTGCAGGGTATTATAATTTCAGTCAGAAGTTTGCAACGCAGTGAAGGAGGCACCTCCGACTATATAAAGTATATATATTCTTGATCAGGATCAACAGCCGAGTCGATCTAGCCATGTCCGTCTGTCCGTCTGTCCGTCTGTCCGTCTGTCCGTCTGTCCGTCTGTCCTTCTGTCCGTCTGTCCGTCTGTCCGTCTGTCCGTTTCTACGCAAACTAGTCTCTCAGTTTTAAAGCTATCTGAATGAAACTTTGTAGTTAGCCTTCTATATACTCTCACTCGTATATATGTCGGAACGGGCCGGATCGGACGACTATATCATATAGCTGCCATAGGAATGATCGGAAAATTTTTACAAAACTTTTTTTTAACTTTTTCAGTTTTAAATAGAATTGGATCAAATTTGAGATATAGCCATTTTACTATACTCTACAATTTTGCATAAAATTTTATGAAAATCTGACTAATATATCATATAGCTCCCATAGGAACGATCGAGAAATTAATTCAATTAAATTTATAACCTATTCAGTTTTCAACTGATTTTCATCAAATTTTAGGTATAGGCATTTTATATTAGTCTTAAATTTTGTGTCAAATTTCATGAAAATCGGACTATTATATCATATAGGTGCCATACAAACGATCATTTGATGTAGAGGAAAAATGCAAATCTTTGCATGTAAAACTGCAAATATAATATGTATAGGTGAATACAATGAAAGCAGGTATTACTTCATTGTTTTTTAACACAAATATATATCATTTATATTGTATGGTTTTTTATTCATAGAAGTTCTATATGCAAGGGTATATAAACTTCGGCGTGCCGAAGTTAGCTTCCTTTCTTGTTTGTACTCATTTTATTGTTTTGTTTGTTTATTTGAGTTATTTGTTTTTATTACGAAAGGCAACATAACTCTTCAGTTAATGCAAATTTAAAGGCATTTGAATTTTTGTTTAAGCGGAACGTTTATAACTAATCTTCAATTGATAACGTGAGTTATAATTTAAGAAGAAATCTTCTTAAATTAGAAATAAGGCGCTATTAAAGTTCAAACTTTTGAATTTACATAAAATGTAATTTAACATATAATTTAAAAAAATACTCTAAATCTTATTTGTATGCTTTTCATTATATTAAAGAGATATACCTTTTAAAGGCATAAGATTTAAAAAGGAAAAGGGAAATTGCTTATTAATAGATAATTTAATATATATATTTTGCTACATCAATCAGGTTTTTCTAAAATTAATAATAATAATAATTCTAAAATTCATATATAAAGTCTTATATTAAACAGTTTTCCAATTTTAGATAAGCTAATTGTGCTGTCAAATGATTTGCTCGACTTGGTTATAAATACATATATCAGCAGATTTATGAATTATTGCCACTCTTAAGTATGATCATATTTTATAAATATTAATGGGATTATATTGAGCGTTTTGGGATCAAAAGAATTTTATTAGAAAAGTATATTCAGTGCAGATTAATTTAATTTAACAACAAGAAAGGAAGCAGACTTCCAGTTTGTATTCGGATTATTGGATCAAACTTGATATTAATTATAACTAAGCAAAAAATCATACCAAATTTAATTCTTCTGCTTTGATAACCACCTAGTTATGTTATAAGGTATTCCAAATGTTTAAAATTTAAATATTCCTTGAAATTGTTGATAATTTTAATGATGTACCTCCTTTTAAAAGCTTGAAAATATTGGTACATTTTAATTCCTAGCGGAAAGGCCTAGATTAACTCGGCTATTGATGCTTATAAAGAAAATATACAGTGACTCCTTCACTGTGTTGTAAGCTTCTGTTTAGAATACCCTGCAAGTAAAACCAGTTTTCTTATTCGATATCATCTTTAGCCAGACGTTTCTTTTATATTAGCTGAAATCGTTCATATAAAGTCGTGGAATACATCCCTTATTTCATATAAAATAATAATAGCATTAATGAATTCAACAAAAAGCATTCCACTAAAATGTGCTGTGACGACGATCACAAGAGAACCTGTTGACTGCTCAGCATCTTTCGTGCGAAGCTTAGTCGATGGGGATTTATAGTGGACTCACTTACCCACATCGAGTGCCCCTGGTGTTGTATGCATATTTTCGTATATAAACAATCAAATCAAGCATTTACGATCAGTACGCGATCGTGCTAAAGCAAAATATATCCGAGGGAGGAGGCAAAAACAACAAAAATGAGGCGAGCAAACACAAAACCGAATTCAATACAACAATACAACACATGATCATCATCACTTTCAGCGATTCGAAATGCAATTTGTTGTTTTTGTTGACTTTAGTGCTGATTGTTGCTTTGGTTGGTGGGGTTTTTTTATTTTTGTGTTTGTAGAATTGTTTAATTATTTAATTACATGTGCGGGCGGCCGCTTTTTTTATTCTATGAATGACTTACCGAAACAAAAAAGAAGAGATCTTTTGCCTCCTGAACTTTGCTTTACTACGATTGCTTGTGAAATTCCTCACTTGGTCTCTGATCAAAGCAAACAGAACTGCTAAAAATACAGTCCTCGGAGAAACACCAAAAACTATTTTTGCAATTAAGTTCTTAGGCAGGCACAGACACAAGTTGAGCAGCATTTAGCAGAGTTCGATTCTCAAGTGTTTTTTTCGTGCTCTTTGCCTTTTGTCTATAAATTAGGCAACAATGCGTATGCGTAATATTTGACTATAAACGATGTGTAGCCGGGCGTATACGTAATGGGCGTAGATGCCAATGAATTGTTTGCTTTTTGTACGAAGGGGAGGTGAATGGTGATGATGGTCATCAGAGAAGATTAATATTTATGTTGCCGTTGACAGTTTTAAAAGCATGAATGACCATGCCTGGATTAAAGTCTAAAAGATATCCTCATTCGGTATATCACCAATGAGGTTGTTGGGTGCAAAATTATAGGAAACTACAAATGTAATAGAAATATATAAAGTGCCTTTCCTTAAATATCTTATTTTCTAGTAAAGCTTTGTTATTTTATCTCAGTTTTAACGGTCCCAAAAATTATTTAAGGCGGAACACTTTTAGTGATAGGAATAAGTGATCTTTTTTTCACAATTTGTTTTCAATATAAGGTCTAAGAATAGGTAAATAGAATGCTAATGTATTTAAAACACTTTTAGTGATAGGAATAAGTGATCTTTTTTTCACAATTTGTTTTCAATAAAAGGTCTAAGAATAGGTAAATAGAATGCTTATGTATTTAAAACGCCCACACAGGAGTATTAATACTTTTTTGTATTATATATTTATCAAATACAAATTGTTCCCCCAAGATGTCTTGCTTCCGCCTCCGCTTTTCCTTGATTTAATTTAATGCAATTTTTCCATAGAAATTCGGACTATTTTGTGTACTCCCCCAAAAAAATTCGCAACATAAAAATCCCACGGGCCAAATATGTTTCCATTATTTACCAAAGCGAAAAAGTTAATTTAAACAAATACCTTTTTTGTTGCTATTGCTCCCGTAAGCCACTCACCGCTTAAATTAGACAACAATTCGTGTTAGTGTTTATTTGAATGGCAAACATTTAATAATAAATTCAAAGGTAAAGGGCGAAAAGCACACAGACGTCGATATGGGCGTGGCTGTCTGCGGCTTTGTGGCCGAGAGTGAGAAAAAGTTTCCGCGAAAACGTAAACAAAAGAACATTTTTCGAGAATAAATTGCAAATTTTATTGAGTGGCGCTTTGGCAGCCACAACAAGCGAATGTAAACAGTTAAGTGAGTGATATTAATTTTCCCTCATATATGTCGACAGGTCAAGCTGCACGCCACACCGCCACCGCCGCCGGAACAGAATCTGCTTCAGAAGGAGATCCGCTCCACGAAGAGCGTCTATATACCCAGGTGAGAGGATCCAAGCGTCGCAGTGATATCTATTTTCTGATTACTTCAATCCCCGACAGGTTCTACTTTCCCCATGGCAAGCCACAGCCAACGATTGCCATGGAGCGGGTAATCCGTGGCATTCTCTCCGCCTTCGACAGCTTTCCCAATAACCAGGTGACCAAGGATGAGCTGCCCCGCATCCTTAAGATATGCGGCCTGCCCTTTTACTGGCGCCTGCCGGTGATGGTCTTCTGCCAGTCGACCAGCACGGGTCTCGTGGAGCGTCAGCGGTTCGTCGAGTTCTGGAAACAGTAAGATCGAATCCTTCGTCGATCTTCTTCACCTTAATTAAAATTGAAATCAATTATCCTTTTAGAATGAACATATATTGCCATGAGGCGGCCTCGAGATTCGTGTACATTCTGTCGCGTGGCCAGAGATTCCGCTCGTACATCGTGCCCGAGGACCTCGTGCCAATGGTGCAGGATGTGGTGGACACACATCCCGGCCTGGCGTTTCTCAAGGAGGCCACCGAGTTCCATTCCAGATACGTGCACACAGTCATCGCGCGCATTTTCTATTCGGTGAACCGCAGTTGGAGCGGCAAGATCACAATATCCGAGCTGAAGCGGTCCGATCTTCTGGAGGTGAGCTACTTTTTCCATCTTCTTGAAGTCACATACTAATCCTTCCTGTCCTTAGATGATTAGCCTGCTGGAGGAGGAGGAGGATATCAACCAGATAATGGCCTTCTTTAGCTACGAGCACTTTTACGTGATCTATTGCAAGTTCTGGGAGCTGGACAAGGATCATGACCTTTTGATCAGCCAGGAGGATCTAGCGAAGCACAGTGATCATGCTTTGTCTACACGCATCGTGGAGCGGATCTTTTCCGGCTGTGTAACGCGTAGTGACAACAAAAAGGCTCCGGAGGACGAGGCTAAGATGTCCTATACGGACTTTGTATGGTTCATCCTGTCGGAGGAGGACAAGCGGACACCGACGGCCATCGAGTACTGGTTCCGCTGCATGGACGTCGACGGCGATGGGGTGCTCTCTATGTACGAGCTGGAGTACTTTTACGAGGAGCAGCAGCAGCGAATGGAGGGCATAGGCATCGAATGCCTACCCTTCGAGGACTGCCTGTGTCAAGTGAGGATCATACTTATTTCTTTATTAGAGTTCTACTTTAAATTTAAATTTGTTTTGTTTTGATACAGATGCTGGACATGATCAAGCCGGCGAATCGCGACTGCATCACATTGGGCGATCTGAAGCGTTGCAAAATGACGCACGTATTCTTTGATACCTTCTTTAACCTGGAGAAGTATCTGGATCATGAACAGCGAGATCCCTTCGCCTCACAGCGTGACGAATATGTTAGTTTCAAAAATATCTTCCGAGATATGGTGTTTCTTTAATAGCTTTATTTACTTACAGACCTCCGATTGGGATCGGTTTGCGGCACAGGAATACGAGCTGCTCATTTCAGAGGAGAACGATTGAGGTCCGTCAAAAGATATTTATTAACTTACAAATTTTTATACAAATTTATACACTACGAAATGAAAAAGAAACAGAAAAACAAAACAAAAACAAGGAACTACTTTTAGTCCATATGTGCAATAAATTCAGATTATTTATTATGAGTTCTGCAGATTTAGTTGAATTTTAATGATGAATATAATAAAAGTAATTTAAAACTTATCGACTCTTGAATTTATCTATAAAATTAAATCAATTATAATACGAGATGATGCGGCATCTTACAAGGAATCACTGGTGACCTTTGCCTCCATTAAGCATCATCCCAATTTTAGCCCCCTTCCAAGACAACCTTTTAACTTTTCGTAAAGTTGGGAAAACCTTTCATTTTAACAACAAAATATTCCTTTCCAAAAGTTTCCAATACGATCATTAATGAAAAAAAACCAATACAATTTATATTTTTTAATTTTTTTCGTTTTTTTTATTAATTCTTTTTGTTTTTTCAAAATTGATTTCTCAACTTAAAGTAGTTAAAAGTAGAACTTGCTGCTCAGGTTTGTCGTCATTATAACGCTACCAGAACTCATTTAGAAACTCATTTTAGACTATGCAAAATTTGCCTAAATATATGTTTACGTTTGTATTTATATAATTGGTATATGCAAGAGAGGATCCTAGCGCCCAGAGGTACAGACCTCGACCACATCCCTGCCAACATTGCAGATTTCCGATCTTAAGTGTATTGGGTATTTAAAAAAAAAACATGTGGCTTTTATTAAATGGAACCAACTCTTTAGGATTGGTCACTCTGCTTACTACTGTGTTGGGCTAAAAAGATTGCGCTGCTCGTCGATTATGAATCACAGATGCATATAGGTTTGAGGATGTTGCATACACAAAAATACACGGGGAGCTTTCTTTCATTCATTCCTCATCGGGCATATTTTACAGATTGATGGGGCTTGAGGGGAGCTACGACGAACCAACCAAGTTATCAGTCAAACCAAACTAAAGGATATATGTCGTGTTAGAGTAGGTAGACTCAAAGATATATGAACGAGTAAGAATGGGGAAGGTTGAATAGTATTTTGGGAAGAAGAGGCAATTAATTGGAAGCTAGCAATAGAAAAGAATTAACAAGCTAAAGAGAAATTTTAAGACAAAAAGGCCTAAAGAGAAGATAGGTTTCTGTTTGTTGCAGTTTTGGATTGGTTTCTGTGTTTTGCTTGGCTTTGGATGTGGGTATCGGTATCGGTATCTCTGATCTACTGTTTTAGTCGTACTTTCTCACTATCCTCAAAGTTCTTATCATTATCGTTTGTGGTCTCCGTGTCAGCGGTAACGGTCCCAGATGCCGGGGCGTCCGCTTCGCGGCTGTACTCGGGCGTTGATGTGCCCTGAACGTAATCGGCGGTTATGTGAACACCTCGAATGTCTGATCCCGGCACTATGAACATTGGATCCAGAAGTAGTTGCTCCTGTGACGGGTTAAGAAAAAAGTTTTAAAACTAAGCCAAAGGGTCAGGAATCACTTGTTTACCATTATGGAGCGCAGACCGCGTGCTCCTGTATGCCTCTCCATCGCCAGCTGGGCTATCGACTTGACCGCATCCTCTGTGAAGGTAAGGTCCACATCGTCGAGACCGAGCAGTGCCTTGTACTGTGGCACCAGGGCATTGCGCGGCTCCGTCAGGATACGGACCAGCATGCTAATGTTCAAACTATGGAAGGGTACAATTACCGGGAAACGGCCAACGAATTCCTGCAACACAAGACAAGATTATTGGTAAATCTAATACTGTATTATCACTTGCCTACTTACCGGTATCATGCCAAACTCAACGAGATCACGAGCCTGCACCTTGGTCAGGCATTTATCACGCTCCTCCTGATCGTTGTCCATGGGACTGGCGACTGCCTGAGCTGCTCGACGACCAGATCCGCTAGTTGAGGGCATGCCAAAACCCAAATACTAGAAAAGTAAATACCAAAAAAGGTTTTTAGGATAAGTGATGTTAATTCTGTCATAATCTCTCCCTTACCTTCTCGTTAAGACGACGCGCGATAAGCCTATCCAGTCCTGTGTACGCGCCGGAGGCCACAAACAGAATGTTTGTGGTGTCTACCTGGACGGTCTCCCCTCGCAACTTGCGCGGCGAGTTGCGCTCTGGCACATTGACCACTGTGCCCTCGAGCATCTTGAGCATGCCCTGCTGGACACCCTCGCCACCGACGTCACGCAGTTGGTGGATTCCAGGAACAGCACCGATCTTATCCACCTCGTCCAGGAAGACGATGCCCGTTTGGGCACGCTCCACATTATAGTTGGCGTCCTGCAGTAGCTTAGAGATGACACTCTCGATGTCTTCGCCCACGTAGCCGGCCTGTGTCAGCGTGGTGCAGTCACAGATGGCAAAGGGCACGTCCAGACAGCGGGCGATCGTCTGAGCTATCAGAGTTTTGCCAGATCCCGTTGGGCCCAGCATGATAATGTTGCTCTTTTCCAGCTTAACATCATTGGACTGACGATCCAGGATCTCGGAGCCGGGACGGTTGTCGCCGCCGCCTCCTCGCGAGTTACTGGATGAGGATCCACTTAATCCGCTGCCCAGTCCGGGACCACCCATGCCGCCGCCCAAGCCCATTTGGGCGGGCGCCTTGGGAGGCAACTCACTGCCGGGTGTACTGTTCAGCGTGTGACCGATTCCGGTGATGTGCAGCAGGTCGGGTCGGGGAATACCATCCAGACCTCCACCGCCGGAGCCACCAGACGCACCGCTTCCCTGCTGATTCAACTGGGGCAGGTTGTGATGGATGCGCTTGTAATGGTTATAGACGGCGACCGCTAGCACTTTCTTGGCAAAATCCTGCCCCACCACATGCTTGTCCAAGTACTCCATGATCTTCTGGGGCGGCGGTGGCGGTTTGCGGTGGTTCTTGGGTTCATCCTTGGTGCGCTGCTTGGTCTCGACCTCGGAGAGCACAACGAAGAAGTAGTTGCACTTGGCGCACTTTACGAACCGCGTCGAACTAACGAACGTCTCGACCTGAGTGCACGCACTGCCGCACTTGGGGCACGACAGGAACTTGTCACTACCACCTCCAGGTGGATCTCCGCTGTTAGTCGTGCTCGCTCCGGACCCCGATCCACTAGGACTTTTGTTGGAACCACCACCAGACGCACTGGTACTGCTATCGCTTCCTGTGGCGCTCCCACTGCCGCTGGCTCCGTCTCCCATATCATCAGTGGATCGTGTGGTGGCGTTCGTGATGTCAATGTAGGCGGGTATCGCCACCGCAGGCTCTAGCCTTACCAGTCGGCTGATGGCACAGTTCGAAGTGGCCAGGTGAAAGCGTCGCACACCCCAGATGCTGACCTCCGAGTTTGAAGTGCCCAGGATGACACATCTTGCTGTTCTCTGTGTCTGACCGACTGCGCTTCCTGAGAGCATAAAAAATTAAATTAAATTAAAACTCTCATGCTTATCAGAGTAGGGAGCCTGAGCAGGGATCCCAATTGAGGACAAAGCGAATAATGGAAGCAGCGAACCCGCCGCCGGGGTTAATGTTTCCTCTCCCAAGCACAGAGTGATATTAAACTGATAACTACAGGGTCTCTCGGGAGAGAAAAAGCTCACTAGATTGGACAACAAAAAGGTAACAAATAAAGGCCAAGGGCAATTAGCATCTTCCGATATCATCAATGACTTGTCACTTTTAAAACTGCTACTACGTTTCTCCCAGTGCAGCTTTTATTGGCGTAACTTCCGCCGCTCCGCTTTCCTAACCTGCAGGTCGACAAATATAATAACCAACAGTTACTGGCCATTAAAAATGTGTAAAACAATTGCTCCGTCAGAGACATGAAAAAATAGTGAAAAATCCATTGCGTCAGAGTGGCAATCGCAATAATTAAGCTAGCTGGTCGTTCGGGCCCCTTATAAAACCAATTCAACTTCAGTTTGACCAGCAACGCATGACGCCCCTCTGATTGGGAAGACGCTGGCGAAGTCGGTGTGGACGTCCAATCAGATGTATAAGTGATCGAACCCCCTTTCAAAGACGCCTCTGGTTGCCGTTGACCGCGAGCAGCTTTGATATCGAAAGAAGACGACCTTCACTCAGTGTTTTGGTTCGAACTAGACAAAAATTTACAATTTAGCGAGAGGCAGCAGCTACGGCTAAGCAAGGCTGATAAGCCAAATGGGAATGAGATCGGGAAACTGTTTTGCCAGTTGGGTTTTCGTGGTGTTGTTGATTCGCGGCGGCTACGTGACGCTGGCGCAGCAAATGACGCAGTTACGTATGCGATTTGCACAACAACAATGGGAGCAATAACAAAAAAAAGTGGCCAAAAGTAACGCCAGCAGAGTGCACTTACCCTTCGACCAGATACTGTATTTGGGGCCCAGCAGGATGATCCGCCGCACCATGCTCATGGTGGCTGCTGCTCCTCCCTCGCCTCCTTCTCTTCCTCTGCTCCGCTACTCCTCCTCCGTGTATTTCCTCCTTCCTTTACTTCTCAGCTGGCCGCTTCAGTGCTCCTCTCTGCTTCTTCTTGCTGCTCTTCCGATCTGCAAAGTTATTGTTATGGCTGCTGTCTGTGTTGCTCAGCTGGGGTTGCCTTGAAGTTCGTTGCTCGGATTCACCTTTGCAGTGCGAAATGCGTCGCAATTAGGCTGCTTTTCCGCCTGCCGTGCGCGTATTTTCAGTGGAAAATAGGGGAATAGATTGCGCTCTGCACGTAATTTGTGTGGCTGTGTGCGTGCTGTGTCTCTCGCTGCTTTTGCTCTTCTCTCGCCCAGCTATGCTTCTTCTTGCCGATGCCGCAGTCCCACGGAGTCGTAAGCCCCTTGGTTAATTACCTAAATTAATTTATTTGCAACCGCAACTCGCGACTTTTTGGCAGAAATATTGAAGTTTGGGTAAAATCTCAGCAACGTCTTCCCAATTACACGACAGCAATCGATAGTTTTTATCGAAAACAGCTGTTTGGTCTCCTCCTCTTGCGGTGCACAGTGGAACGGATAACGACGTACAGTGAAGCAAACACCAAACAGCGGACAGAAAACTATAAATTTTGGTCTATGAGGAAATTTGGTAAATGGCCGAGACCGAGAATTTCCAAATCAAAAGGATGACTATGGGGAATTTTCAAAAGATTACTCTTTTTTTTACAGTAATCTGAGTTGATTTTCAACGTGGATATTCAACTTAGATATTACACAGAATTTTAAACTTAATGCTAAAAGTCGAATTAGTAGCCGGGTATGATGCGACCCTTTTTGCTGGCCGTTTTCAGCTTTTTGTTGCGCTTGTCTTTGCTGCGCTTGTCGAGGTTCTCCTGGCGCTTCTTCTGCCGCTTCTGGATGTCGTGCTCCACCTTCTGCTTGCGCTCGGTCCACTTGGTCTTGGCCTTCTTCTTTTCCACTCGCCGCTTCTTGATGGCCTTTTGCAGCAGCTTTGTGTCGTCCTTGACCTTCTTGCCCTCGACCTTGTCGAAGGCCTTGCGCCATGCGATGTCTGTCTGTATTTCGGCCGCCTTATCTGCTTCTCCCTGCTCACGCAGCTCTGTAATGTGCTTCTTGGTGTCTCGCAGCTTCTTCAGGATCTCCTTGGGGTTCTGGTGCGACTTCTTGGTCTTGCCACCCGGATTGGCGGCAAAGTCCACCTTGGAGTATACTATCTTGGCCTCCTGGTTGTACACCGGCTGAACCTTAACGGGCTGGATTTGAGCCTTGGTGTCCTCTGAGTCCGCGTCCTGCTCGGTCTTCACCACGCCGTTCTTTAGTTTCTGGTGCTTGACATTCTCGTTCTTCAGATTTTTGGCCGAGGAGAGGAGCAGTTTCTGGACGCCCTTGCTGCGCTTCAGCTTCTTGGCCTCTCGCCGCTTCTGTTGGCGCTCAGTGGTAGGGCCTTTTTTCTGACGCAGCTTGTTTTTGATGGACGCGATTCGCTCGTCTACATCCTCGTCGTCGGAATCTTCTACTTCTTGTTTTGTTTTTGGGCTTTCTTGTGGGCAGATTTATTGTTGTCCGGGAGCAGGTAATCCTCGTAGGTGTCTTCATCTACAATGACAAAGGTTTAGTGACTTAGTAAATGGTTATAATTAATGTTTTTACCTTCTTTCTTCGAGTAGGGCACTTTGTGAATGGTCAGCAGGTTGAGAATCCGCTGGTGAAACCTTTTGGTGACGGCTAACAGGTCTTCCTTCTTTGGCTTCTGTTCCGCGTTGCGCTCATTGTCGAACTCCTCACGGAGCCGTTTAACGATCTCGGCCTGGGTCATTTTGGCCGCAAAAATAATAATAAAACTATTATTTACGAACCGCACACGTGCGTTTCAAATAGAGATGCAAAAACATCGATAGCAACATCGATGCAACGATGTTTTTCCCAATTTTCTAAATTATCGATGTTATTTTCAATCGATGTAAAAGCAAAGGAAAGGTACATAAAAGGTAATATTTTTAAAATTTAAAATTATACTATATATTATTATTATATAAAAATAAACAGGGCAATTTTAATGACCGCTGGACGCGCCAAGATAAAGAAATGTGTGGCCAGATCCCAAACATTTTGTACAGCGTTTTGTAGGGCTTTATTACGGAAATTCGGTATATATTAGCGCTCCTGCCGCGGTCACATTCGGCTCACTTTTTCGTAAAACATCGTTAAAGAATGACTAATTTGCCAGTTTTAAGTATTTACTCAATGGCCAGCTAATTACACTTTGGAAACGAGCAGAAAAAGCAAAGTTTAGTTAACGTTGGAGACTCGAGCGGGAAAAGCAAAGCAGCCAAGATGAAGAGGCAGTTTGCGAAAATCAAAATTGCAGCCGAAAATCTGTCAAGGTAAGTTCAAAGGCCAGACGACGACACAGCGGCGCTGTTTGCGTGTGTGTTTGTGTGACTGCGCTCCAGGCGGACGGACAGGTGTTGCCTCATCACAACAACAACAACGTAAACAGCAGCATCGCCAACAAATGCAACAAAAGCAGCAACGCGACAAAAACAAGACGAATAGCAGCTGCTGCAATGGCAACAATAATAACAACAACTGGCCGAGTGATGACCTAACGGCAACCCCTCTTCTCTACACTCTCCGCAGGTCGACAAAATCGGATTGCAAAGATTCGGAGCTGGAGACGATCGAGCGGCAGGTGGACAGATACCGAGACACCATCGAGAAGATCGTTCGGAAGCTACCGGCACTGAGTGGCAGCGGCAACAGCAGCAGCAGCAGTGCCAATGGCCAGGTGAGCAGCGAGGAGCAGGACAAGCGGACCAAGAAGAACAGCCATTACAAGATTGCCCAGGCGCTGGACGAGTCCGCCAAGGAGCTGCCCAAGGATATGCCGCTGCAGAAGGTCCTCGCCAATTGTGGTTAGTTATCGGGTATCGGGAAGTGCGTTTGTGATTGTGCGAGTGCGAGTATGCGAGTGATTGTGATTGTGGCGTGCGCGTGTGTGTGTGTGGGTAACATGCCGTTCGACTGATAAGAGGCACAGTGGACTCCAAATCCGATAATCGCTGCCAGACATGCACATATGCATACGTATGGGTTTTCACCTCCATTTCGGTTTGGTTCGCATTTGTGGGCAATGGAGAATACTCGCGGATGACTGTGTCACGGGCTTGCGTGTCTGTGAGTTTCTCTGCCTATGTGTTTGCGGCCTCGCCTTGTCGCTTGGCCTTGTGGCATTTACATTTCTCAACATCCACATCAACATGAGCAGCAACAACAACAATAACAATATTGACAGCGGTTTTAATATACAGTCAAAATTAGATAACTCAAACCGTCAACAAAAAGATTAAGTAAATAGTAAAACTACATTTTCAAAGATAGATTTTGTCTAGAAATGTGCAAAAATGTTAAATATTGGCAATAAGCATTAATTCTTTTCCATACCTAACATAAAGTTTGTCTAAATATCTATTTTGATATATTTTACATATCTTTTCAATACTTAAATAATTTCCTAAATCAGAGAAAATTCATACAATAAGCTTGAATATTTGTTTAATACTCTTGCTTATCAGTTAGCTTTCAGATCTATATATAATTCAAGTTATCAAGACCTCAGACAATATCATTTTCTTCTAGTTGGGGTTCGCATTATCGAACTTCGTCTGTAGGGAGATCCCACTGTCGGCCTGAGCTCTTTTTTTAATGATTATTATAATTTTTATTATGAATTATTCGCTGCTTTCTTTTGAACCCGCTTTTCGCATTCGTATTGGTTATACTTTTTTTGCGGTTTCGGCATTATCTATTTATATACTTTTGTTTTGCCAGCTCGTTGGCCCGCCCCCACTTGCGCCCGCTTTTATTGCCCTTTTCTTATGCGATTTACTTTGCATTTCATTTAAATTTGTTACACATCCGTCGCTCACGAAATAGGATAATAACAAAGAAGCGTAAACGGCGATAATTATGCTGGCCCAAAGTAAAAGTAAAAGTCTGAGCCAAATTCATGCATCATCGTCATGATCAGGCTTCCATCAGCTGCGTCTTTGCTCTCCTACTCCTCCTCCACCTCCACCTTCAGCGATCTTCTCATTAATTTTGTGGGCGCTCCCCCTGGTCCGTATTACTCATTCCGTTTTTTGTTATTATTTTTTTTTTGTATTGTTTCCATTCGCCGCTTGCCATTCTCGAGCACTTCGCATTCCACATACTCGCAGATGCGTGTGCGTCAATTGCAATTTGGATGCAATTGCCATTCCCAGTGGCCCCTTCGGTTGCAGTTCCAGTTGCAGATGCAGATCCAGCTGCAGATGCAGTGGTTCAAGAGCAGCCGGGGTTGTTGTGTAACCGTTGCCATACCAGGGATCTCCGTGCCGTGCCAAACCCCCGGTTGCTCCACTTCCCCACGTTCCTGATTAGACACGAACGTCTCCCCATGCATATTATTACGGGTACAGTGTGAACGTGTGTCCATGGGTTAAGTGTGAGAGCTCGGCTTGAACGCCTGGGGAATTATAATTGGGTCAATCTGGGGAAATCAATAATGGCCAGCATTGCAAAGCTCTAAAAAGTTAATTTTCTATCAATCTTGTTATTGCAGTTAAAAAATTAATTTATTTCTGACGTTAACTCAGTAAAAGGTAGTTTTTATACCCTTGTGGGTATTATAATTTTAGTCAGGAGCTCTCTAAAATTTATATATATTCTATTTATATATGTTTTATAAGGTTCCGATCGAAAACTGCAAGGGTATACTTACTTCGGCTTTCTATCTTGTTTTTAACTCAAATTATGATGAAGTAAAAGGTAGAATGTGTATAGTTAACAAGGTCTTTCCGGATACTTTCATTAATAATTTATATAATATAACATAATATAAAATATGTACCCTTAAGAGTACTTAAAATGTACCCAATATAAGGGGGTTTCCCTTTTTAGTTGGTAAGTTAGTATTGGACCAAACATTCCACTTTACCCATAAACTAACATTAAAAAAACATCTTATTTAGATCCCAGAAAATAGATTATTCATGTTAACATGTTTTCCTTCTACAATTGACCTTGTGACTTATATAATTGTTAGTCATGATCACCTATAGTTACATAAATTGTTTAGACCAATCTCTACAAGTGCTCCAACTGAAAATTACCTCACTAAACAGAGATTTTTGTCGCCCATGTAATGGCCATAATAACAGAGCGATATCATCTCACTTTTAGCCCACTGTGCGCCCTTTGCAACTTTTATTGTTAGCCACGATGCGCTTCAATTCAGCTCCGTATTCCACTGGCAAAGGGTGAGCGAAAAGCGAGCATATCTTGAACGTTATACTCCAGTGCCGTTGCCGCCGCCTCCGACGACGTCTTCTTCGTCTTGGGCACTCTCCCTCTTCGCCTCCATGGCGGATTCAGCTGTCGAGCCTCAAGTCTCAGGGCACTCAACACAATTATCACAATTTTGCTTACTCAGCTCGTCAACCTATTCGGCAGTCACCTCCCCCTTTCGAGTCTGCCTCCCAATCTTGTCCCGCATCTAAGCTGAGCAACTCCAACAACTGGAAACCGGCACGCCAACATCTTTGCAGCTACCGCTTGGCGATAAGGTCTTAAATAAGCACTGACTTCCTCACTTGCGGGCGGAATAGCGACAAACACACTGAAAACTCTTAGTAGTTCCTCCAAGATTACTAACCTTAATGCGTGTTTCTAAATTTAAATACAAAATTCGAAAGTATTTGGGAAAATAATCTCTTGATTTTCGACTTTAGCAATTAGAATTTCCATTTGTTTAATTGTTCTTAAAGCTTATCATTCAACATTTCTCACTGTGGGGTAATTACGTGTCCAAGTTTCCATTAAATACTTGCTTAAGTACTCATTTCTCCATGTGTTTGGCATTTACAGGAGAGCTGGAGAAGACGATGGCCGAGTGCATCATCGAGAGCGAGTTGGAGACGGAGACCAAGGTGGTGCGGCGACTGAAAAACATTTTGGACAAGGAAATCCAGGAGATCTCGACGCTCAAGCGCAATGTATCGCGCACTCTGCAGGAATACACCTCGCTGAAGCGTAGTTATGAGGTGAGTGCGGATCATAAATCTAGCTGGGATTATCCATTAACTGAATGGCAGTGAGTAATGCTGGATTTCCGTTTTCACCAAAAACTTTTGCGCTCGCGATGACAATGGGAGATTGTTAAATTAATTAAGGAGCTTGGCTGAAATAATAGCCCCGAAAAGCTACCTCCGCTGGTCAAGTTGTCTCTGATTAACGAACAATAACAACCACAGCCGCCGGTAGTGGTTGTCTCTCTCAAGGAAATGGCACTGTGTTTCTTTGATATTTGTTTGTAATCATTTCTAGTTTGATAGCAAACAAACAAGAATCAAATCGACTCAAACCGACTTCAGGCTTCAAGTAAAGTTCTTACAATGAAGTAACTTGATAGGCGGTTCCCAGAATAAAGTGTCATATATAACGACGTAGACAAATCCAATACACTTTTCCAATCAAAGCCGAACCACTGTGTCGAGGCGGATGCCAAGAAGCGCCTGGCAAAAGAAGCAATCAATTTTTAATTTCCATTTATTATTATTTATATTGCCATGGCTTTATCTTACGCCAGTTTCTATTGTTTGTTGGCCACCAATCCGCATTTGTTGCTTACGTTTTTTTATGATTCGTAGACGATTGTTGCCTTATCGCTAGCCTGGAGTGGGATGATATGGAGTGGCTCGGGATGAACGGCGTTTTTGGTGTTCCAATTTCTTGACACCCAATTGGTTCTGGCCATTGGAGACTCTACTACAAACAGTTAGAGCCGGTTATCCGAACACAAAAAGTTACTCTTGGAGTTTTATTGTTTTCGTGTTTTCTTCTCTCGATTTTTTTGCTTGCTTGGTTGCTTTTTTTGTATTTTATTTTGCTTTCCGTTTTATATTGTACAAATCACGACTATGGCGTTTCAAGCCCATATCGAGCCAGTGGTCTCCGTCTGTTTAAGGTGTCGGAAGACGTTCATTGACTTGGCGGCGGTGGTGGCAGCAGTGACATCATAATTGAAATGGACGCCCTGCAATCGCTGACCAGCCGAAGTTATTTACACTCCCCCGGGTATAGGGTAATCTTATCGCCGTCAGCTTGCCATAATTCGCTAATCAGGTGCTCTCGTGTTTGGGTGCTCTGTTCTAATTGCAATCCCTGACACGGATCCAAACTGAAAACAATACATATATGCACAACGGAGCTGCCTTTGGAAGTGCTAACTTTGGTGCCCGGAATGTGCCACTTGTAGTGTGATGTAGGTCACCGAGAGGTTGCTCCGGCCTCATGGAAATGATGATGTGACTCACAATCGTAGTCTCGAACTAGTCAATACAATTCGCGAGGGCAGGAGTAGATATTGATAATGATAATGAGCTGGATGCCATTGTCTTCTGGGTGGCGGAGATAGTGTCGTCGTAACTTGTCGTTTTGTCACGATTTGTTTATTTTTAGCTACATTATGATACGGGCAAAGATGATGATGAATGCCAGCAGTAAATTGTTTACACAAAACGCACAGCTGGCAATGCTGTTGTAAACAAAAACTTGTATTGTACAATATATGCATGGCTCAATTTAGTACTGGATTTAGTGAGTTTGCCATATTAAAAGATGTATGGGACATTTCCTTGTCACAATATGATATAATTCCACCGATTGAATCACTATTTGTTTATTTATTTTTCTCCCAAAGATCAAGGTCTGATATATTTAGACGGTGATATACGTTTGTTTGTTTCCTAAATTCGCTCGCATTTAATCTTAAATACTCTTTCACATAGTTCAATAGCACTTCTTATCGGAACAGTGTTTTATAAACTCCTTTGTGAGTCAAAAGCGGTGTCACCATAGTCAGTGGCCCCAATGCAACGCGCGTGTGTGTTCTGAATCCCATATTTCACCCATTGTCCGGCTCGAAACAAAGACCTTGATGGGAGCCGTAACAGCTGGGCGGGCAGTGGCAGCATTTGAGGTCGTTCTATTTTGAGATGGCCGCAAATCATCCATCCGGCAACTTCTCCCGTCTAGTCATTGGGAAAACTATTTCCAGTAGTGGGTGTTGCGGCAGATAAGATATTTCACGTGCTTGAACTTTGGGCTATTTGGACTATGACGATTTCCATGGCAATGCCGCCGCTTATCTGTCATTCGCTAATCAGTGCTCTGTTCTCTCGTTCTCCCCGTAGGCGGCAATCCGGCTGGAGGAGCCGGCGTCCAAGGTAAACCACATCAAGAGCCAGCAGGAGGAGTGCGAACTGAAGCTGGAGAAGGAGCGAGATGCCTGGGCGGCCCAGATGCTAGAGCTGATAGCCAAAGAGGACGAGATCGTGAGCTGCATCCGCGACTATGTGCTTAACCAAAGAAACTACCACGAGCGGGCACTGCAGCATGTGAACGCCTCGCTGGCCCGCATCCAAGACACCATTCAGGGCACGGAGAAGTCCCGCTTTGGCACTTCGCTCAAGGAACATCTGACATCCACCAACCGCGAGATCTCTTACATCGTTGAGCTGTGCTGTTGCTGCCTGCTGGAGCACGGCCTGGAGGAGGAGGGCCTACTGCGCGTGGGCTGTGCCAGCACCAAGCTGCGCCGCATGAAGCACGCCCTGGAGGCGCAGCACGTGAAGACCCCGTTGCCGCTGGACTACCAGGATCCCCATGTCATTGGCTCCATACTCAAGCTCTACCTGCGCGAGCTGCCCGAGCCGCTGCTTACCTATGGCCTGTACAAGGACTTTATCCGGATTGCCGAGCGGCAGAACGAGTCCGAGCGCAAGACGGAGATCAAGGCCATTCTGGGCAAGCTGCCCAAGGAAAACTATGTCAACCTGCGCTACCTCACCCGCTTCCTGGCCCATGTCCAGCAGCGCTCCGTGCACAACAAGATGAGCTCCCAGAACCTGGCCATCGTCATGTCACCGAACATGCTCTGGCCGCGCATCGACAAGAGCAGCAACGCCCCGGCCGACTACATCGGACAGGTGAACAGTTCCTCGGCGGCCAATATAATTGTAGAGATGTTGATCAGTCAGTGGGATTACTTCTTCACCGGCGATGTCGAGTTCTATCTGACGCTACAAAAGCAAAAACTCTTTGTCGAAGGCAAAAGCAAGTCCAATTCCTCCAACGAAAACCTGGACAGAAACGATAGTGGTAAGTATACTGCACAGTCGGAGTTCTATAGCTCCAGAGAATACCTGCCCAATACAGTATTCGACTTGTGAATATCCAAGTCTACTAAAATTTCGTTACATTTTCAACAAATGAAAAATAAGAAAAACCTGCCTCTTAAGCTATTATTAAACGTCTTCCGTCTATTGATTAATTCTATTTAAATTAATGCCTTATAATTTGATACCTTTTGTGCAATAATAAATTTCAATTTGAATTAAAATTAATCAAAACTATTCCTTGAAGCAGAGTTTGCAAATAACAGTCCCAGTCATATTTATGTACGTAAAACCGATGTTTTTCTTTAGCATTCTCTCTTATATAATGATATTGAAAGAGTGTAACTTTAGCAAAGAACTATTAACCAGCGCTTAAATTTAAAAGAAATTACGACAAAACAGATCAACTGTTATTTACAAAGTCTGCGTGGAAGTGATTTCTGCCAATGGGAGAATGTATCACCTCATCCGTTTGCAAGCTCGTCTACTGTCCCATTCTTTTGCCTTCACTTAATTCATTACTTAATATTAACCTGGGCCATCCCTTGCAGAAGTCATGGAGAGTCCTCGCTACGGCACCTTGAGGCGTCAGAAAGCCAATGCTCCATCGCCGCCAACCACCAATGGCAATGGAACGAGCATCATGACCACATCACAAACGTCGCATCGCCCGCATGCCAAGGAACTATTCCCGCAGCAACAGCCGCCGGCGGAGAAGCAGCAGGAGAAGCCCGTCAAGCCGCCGCTACCAAATCTGCCGCAGTTCCAGTCAGCCGCCGTCAGTGGGCCCACGCATACGCAGCTCGAGCCACTGCCCCCGCCACCTGTGACACCCGCCAAGCCTGTACCGATGACAAGGACACAGTTCTTTGGTCTGGATAACTTGCCCTCGCCTACGGCTGATCGCAAGAGCACCGATAGCATCGGTAGCTTTAAACTAAAGCCAGATGTGCCGCAGAAACCGCAGCTGCCCAAGAGGCCGGTGGTACTAGGCGTTGGTGCGACCAAAGTAGATGGAAAGAGCGACGACGAGGGTGCCATAACGCCCACCCAGGCGACAATCGATAATGGCAATGGCTCTGTCCGCTACAAAACGGAAAACTTTCTGGATAAACTGCGCCAGGAGACCAGTGACACGAACGGAACGCGGGAGGAGGTGCCAGCGGCCAAGGAGAGCAACCACAACACCGAGACTCAGTCGTCAGCCGTTACGGAGACACAACAACAGCAGCCACAGGCGCAACCTCAGGCTACGACTCCGATCTCGCCGAACTCATTTCATACGCCCAAGAGGCCAACGGTGCCAGCACCGCCGCCTCCCACAAATCGCAAGCTCTCGGATTAGAGGCAGTCGTGGAAGGAAGTCAGAGTCACTAGGTGTTACTGTTTACTCGTTAAGACTTGAACGCACAGTAATCTATATATATATATATTTAAATGATCCTTGCGGTTAAAAGAGGAGACGTTGTGCATTATAGAGCAAAGAGCCTCGTGTGTATTCTGCATTTGTATTTTTGCCTTGTCAATAAGCAATCTAATTTGTACGAGTTTAGCCATATAACATTTATCAAGCGATATCCACATACATATATGTACGCATATATATATATATATATACATAGTCTGTAGTAGGCCACCGTAACTCAATTGTCGAAATTGGATTTGTTAGCGCCCAAAACTGAGCGAGCTCTCAATTGTTAATCCTTATTTAAAAGGTTGTGATACATCAGAAAGGTTTGTGTTTCCTTAATTTTGTTTTGCAACGCATTTTCATCGAAATTTCATTGTGATTTCTCTTAATTAATATTATTATGATTTCGTTAAAGGCGTAAAGTACGCATGCTGATGCTCCATTCTGAATTCGGGCTGACACAGAACTATTTCCAATGTATTCGTTTGATTTATTCAAATCACCAAGTATGATTATTATCATTTATGATGTACTATATATATTTTGTATCTTTGCTTTATTAATTTGTAATGCAACTATTATTATTTTATTTAATAATAAATCTTATGTATGAAGCATTGTTGTGTATATAGAATATACATTAAAAAAAATCATGATTATAATTTTACCAGAGAAGAATTTTCTGTCTTTGTTTGTTAATGTTTATTTTGTTAGGTAATTATTAGAGAAAAATGTTTGATATCATTTAATTCAAAAACATCGATGTATCGATCTTTACTGATATAACTAGTAACAACATTTAAATAGTCGGGGAAAACTAACCACGTGGATCTCTTGCACAAATTGGTAATAATGATTAAGACCTCTTGGAATCAAAAGATTAAACTATCTGCAGGAAATTCAACTGAATTGTGCCATAATAATGAATACCTGAATACAGATAATGATTTGTAGAAAAGAAACCTACCATTACTACCTAACTATAACTATCATATCTGCCTAAATATACTTTTTTCAGACGCTGCTTCAAGGGTATAACTAGCAATGACCAAAACTTGATGTTTAGAGAGAGCTTACTACTTGGGAATAGTTTTGAAGAGTGCATGGGAGGACAGACCAAACCGATATATACTCCATGGTATTTGTAGAATTTAGAATGTCTTTACAGTTTTGTGAATAGGTTAGTAAGTGGAGAGCTGGAAAGTATATGGAAATATATGAATATATTCTGCTAAAGTTTAAATGAAAAATCCAATACACCAAAGTTGGACCAAAAATTTGAAATGAAGTTATTTGTGAAACTGGTGATTGCTTATTGGTAAAAGTGTGATGAAAACGTTAAAGAAATATGAAAAGTAATATTATAATTAAGCCCCAGAAGTATGCAGAGACATTTGATAGTGTTTTATGAGTATTCATTCTACGAAAGGCATATAAAATACACTAAGTTTAATTACTTGTAACATCTATCTTATGCTGCTCAAGTTAAGGCAAATATCGTAAGCTGGTATAGTGCCAGTGATCTCCAAAAGCGTAGGAGTGTATGGCTATAAGCTTTATCCATCAGCAGCGATGAGTATCCCTCCGTTGTGTCCTTGTTTTCCCTTTTTTCATCTGGTGTGTCCAACTGCCTCACGTAATCCATAAAGTTGTCCACATTGACGGGAGCCTCAGCCTTGGCTTGGGGCGCTGTTTCCGTCTGCAGCTTCCGCTGGAACTCGGAGCGGTAGTAGTCATTGATCATGGACATCATCCCCTTGGAGTACCAGTAGATAATGCCGATCAAAAACAGACCCTGCACAAAGGGTCCAACCATTTTGTATAGTTTTAAGATAAATTGTAAGTAAACTGTTGACTTTTTGATAGATTCTTCACTGTTTGTGATCTTCGCGGAAGGTCTCCAGCCACTGATTAACCATGTAGAATTGCTCCTTAATATGAGGCCAGGCCATGGTGACAATTAACATTATTGTATTTGCAAAGACAAACAGTTTCATCATCTCAAATGCTATGGATAAAATGTGAGGTATTTATTACAATAAAGTAAGACTTGTTCGAGGTAACTAATTACAGACCCTCCGGTGTGCGAAGATAGTCGCCGAAACCGGAATTTAAATCCTTATCCTCCTCCTTCTGCTCATGATGATTCGGGGACTTTTCCTTGCCTGAACCCTCGGCTTTGTCTTTGAAGGAGGTTCCACCCTGACCATGGGCGTGTCCCTTTCCGTGACCGTGTCCGCCGTGTCCGCTGTGCTTGTGCCTGCCGTATCCAGTGGACGTATTGGCAAAGGCCGATTTCTTCGATTTCATGGCATCCAGATGGATGCAGTACTTCTGTTTGGATCGTCCTACCACGCCAAGTGCTGCACCGCAAATGATTCACACCGATGGCCCAGTGCCGTGTCGCTGCTTCTGCATATATTCTATGGCTTCTATTTTATTGATTTGCGATTTCCGAGCTGCTCTTTGGGGGCAGACCAGGGGAGGATTGGGATAATGGGGGATGGGGAATTGGTGACCAAATAGCAATATGTGGCTAGTAGAGCAATGCGCTTGGATATTTAGTCAGGCATGTGTGCTTATTATATGTACTACCTGCAAATGTGTGTCAGCTTAGTGGATGAATTGGCTGGGTGGGCGGAGGAACACACTGGTCCCAAATGGATTTAGCTTCAGTAAAAATTAATGGGACAGGTAAAAAAGCTCTTATATACCCACTTAATTTGCATATTTAAAATCGCTTTAATAAAATATGTATAATTGTAATTATACTTAGTTTGGATTGAAATTTATATTATGAATATTATGAATACAATTTACTGGAACTGTTGAAACATTAAAACTAAATGAAATCAATGAGAAAATTATGAAAGGATTATCCCAACTTTCTGACAACTGCATTGCCTTTTCATATTAGATTTATTTTATCTATTAAATGTTTAATTTACAGCGTTTATAGTCCAGCTTAACTTTTGATTTATTCCCAAAAGTATGCAAATTAGTATAATAAAATTATTTAATTTTTTAACAAGCTAAATTCGAATACTGATTGCGAATACTAGAGATGCACTTAAACTTAGAGTACTTAACCTTAGTAACTCATTAGAAATATTACGTATACGTAATAAGTTGTTGCTTCTTAGGCAATGCTCCTACTTCAGGTAGGTGCTTCTCAGGCGGAGTGGTCAGACAGCAGGTGCAAATGCCACCCAGGATGACCAGCAGGCAAAAGGCGGACAGCGAGAGGGCGGGGCTTACCTGCCGGAGCAGGGTGAGAAAGGAGGCGGACAGCTGCCACACCCTTGCCCAAGTGACGACCGAGAAGGAGAGGCTGCTCCTCTGCTCGGCGGGTACCAGTTCACCCAGACAGGCCAGGATCATGGACTGGGCACAGGAGACGGCTGCCTGGGGCAGGGAAGCCATAAGCAATCCCAGCGTGAGACCATACACCTCGGGCATATCCGCTTCGGCCAGGAACCAGCAGATGCTGCCAATGCTACCCACCACAATGGCGAATGCTCCCGCCCACTGCCACTTTAGATCGGAGCGGTTAGAGGTGAGATGGAGGGCTAGTAGGCAGCCCAGCATCTCGGCCAAGCCCATGGCCAGAGTATTGGACACCAGGTGCTCCCTGCCAAAGGATCGCACGTGGAGCAGCAGCCCCGTATTCACCACCATGAAGGTGGCCAAAGCCATGTGAGCAGAAACCAAACGGAAACTGCTCCTTCTGTCTCCCGTCCACAATTCCATCCAGTGAGCCGGTGGTGGTTGTTCCTGCATCCTCTCCCTAAGCTGCCCCAGTTGGTGAGGCAACTCTTTGGAGACCTTATATATGCTTCCATTCATGCGAGATGCCTCCAGCAGTATTGCCACTGTTTTCTCAACGGCCAGCTGGGTGTCCTTCGCGTGCTGCAAATGCCAGCGAGGTGAGTCTGGAGTCCAAGGCAGCAGGAAGACAATCACCAGCAGGAAAAGAGTCACTCCCAGATATATGTGCTGCCAGCTAGGAACTCCAGACGCAATACCTGGGAGCAGGATCAATCCCAGAGCCCAGAAGCAGTCGTAAAGAAGCTGGGCACCCAGTCGGTGCTTGCCCCCTGTTATGTCGCTAACTGCAAGGATATAATATGTTTAGTTACATCATCATACGTCATCTTGATGTATCACTTACATATGGCGTGGCCGGTGGTGATCATAATACAGCAAGAAACCGCCGCCAGGCAACGTAGCCCACAATGAAGGCTGAAATCCTTGACCAGACCCATCAGGAGGCTGCACATCAGCAGGCACCAAATCCCAGCCGAATAAATCTGACGAGGACTTAGCACTCGCATCAATTTGGTGGCTGCCACGCCTCCAATGAGCAGGCCGAAGAGGTGCCAGTACTGGGACCAGGCCACAAAGAAGTCACACAGGCAAACCAAATCGAACTCCATGGTCAGGGAGTGGAAGCCGGTGGTGTAGAGGAAACTGCGGCACTGACGCATGGCGTAGCCGGAGTCACCATAGTTCACCATAACATAGCACTGATCCAGGGAGACGGTACAATTGTCCACCGGTCCAAAGGAGCTCGTGTCGCAGGTGTACTCCTCCTCCGGATAAAGATCTGGGGCCGTAAACAAGATGCAGGCCATGAACCAGGCGGCCGGGATCTTGCAGAGAAACAGGATGAGCAGAGAGCGCAGTTGCCAGGGACCAAAGTCTCCCATAATTTGATTAATCACATCATCTTCTTTGACCTTTTCAGGGTCACTCATTACTTTGGAGGAGGAAGTGGCAGGAGGCAGTTCATTGGCTTCCGGATCAGTGCAGGTGAAGATGTGCGTGAGGTGGCCCAGAACCAGGGGCGTGGGCGAGTGGCGGCGGGCGCTTGGTTGCCAGCCTTGAAATCCGAGTGTCTCCTTCATCATCCTTGGATTAGCGCCGAAATTTAGTAGCCACGTCTTGGGAGTGCCAACCCTCCAGCATGACTGCGATACCGCTTAGCACCTCACCTGGCCAGGTAAACGCGAGGGCTTCGCTCATCGGTGCCTGCCTACGATATCGTCGCTAATCAAATCAGTCCAAATAAGCGGATCAATGTTCCTAATCGATTGAGCAAACATCGGACGGTGATCAGTACGAGATTGAAGGGAGAATACTAGCTGTAGGAGAGGACGGGCTGGGCACTTGACGTGATTGAAGCTAATAAATTGACCAGGTAAACATCGTTGGAATGTCGTATACCTTTTGGAAAGCCGAAATATTAGCTCTAGTTTAAGCTGCGCAAATTCCTTGAACGAGTTTAATGCTATAAATATATATTATGTAAGGCTTATTTGACTATCAAGTCTAGCTTGTTAGTTTTCCCGATCAATTGTCATATGAACTTGACTTTTTATCTTGTTGAAAACATCCGAATCTATACTTTATGGAAAATGTTTTGTCAAGAAAAGTTCAGAGGTAGAACTTAACTATGTTACCTTTATATACCTATTTTCCTCTTAAAACAACAATATTTTTATTTACTTGACACACTTGACTTGACTTTGCAGACTGAGTTTGCATTTTTCCATTTTCTTGAATGAACTCAAAAGTCGATCATGAACCAAAAACCCAGCCTTGTCCGCGTCCACTTCCATATATGATGTAATAGGCGTATTCGCGCAAATGTAACGTCTGAGAGAGCTGGTTACTTTCGTTGGTCAATTGCATTTTCCACTTGCATTTTCACGGAAAACTTGTTTCGGGAGGACCAAGGCCTTTCTTTGCAGAGCAACTCGTTGTCTGCTGCTGGAAAGTGATTCCACGATCAGTTGTGATTGTGGCTCCAAAGTGACAACATCATGGACAATGCTGGAGTGGAAATGGTGGATCACCAAGCGGACATCTATGATGATGCAGTGGTCTTCATAACAGGTGAGTCCGAGTAGTTCTCTGGATTATATAAACTAAGTGGATCTTGTAGGTGCCACGGGATTTGTGGGCAAAACGCTGTTGGAGAAGCTACTCTGGTCTTTTCCACGGATTAAACGCATATATATGCTAATCCGTCCCAAGGGTGGAGTCACGGTGGAGGAACGTTTTCGGGTATTCCTCCAGAATCCCATCTTTGAGCGTCTTTCGTTGGAGCACCCGGAGAGGCTGAAGAAAATCTTTCACTTTTCGGGAAACATTGAAGACGACAACTTTGGTATGGCATCAGAAAATTGCAAATTGAAACTGCAAGTGTTTACCAGAGACTTCCACCAACAGGTTTAAATGAAACCGACAGAGCCGTGCTATGTGCCGAGGTGAACATTATTTTCCACAGTGCAGCTACGGTAAGTCTGGGACGAGGGAACTCTATTTGCTTAGGCACTAAGTTGGGTTTTCTAATGGATTTGCAGGTGCGCTTCAATGAGTGCCTGAAGGTCTCGGCACGAGTCAACTCCCAGGCCACGTACAATCTTCTGGAGCTGTGCAGGGAGATGGCTCAACTACGGGTAAGGAAAGCTTGCGAAGTTCGTCTCTTTATGATCATTAATCTGGATAACTTTCTGCAGAGTTTCCTTTACGTTTCCACGGCCTATTGCAATCCGGGTCGCAAGTATGTGGATGAGCAGGTTTACCCAACGATGCCACCGGTGGACTGGCGGCAATTTCTCGCCTGCACACAGAAGATACCCGATGACTATCTGAACCGACTGGCGGATTATATTAAGGGTCCTCATGTAAACACTTACACCTTTACCAAGTCCATAGCCGAGCAGATAGTCAACGCCTATAGACATGTCATTCCCATTGTCATCGTGAGGCCTTCGATAGTTACGGCGGCTTATCGGGAACCTTATCCCGGTTGGATCGATAATATTCAGGCTATCAGTGGTATAATGATGGAGATAGGCAAGGGAGGGATCAGCAGCATTCTGGGGGACAAGGATTTGATATGCGACATAATACCAGTGGACTTTGTGGCCAATGCAATGATCATGATGATTGGCAAGGCAAAGTTGGGCAGGTGAGTCCGTGGAAGTAGCTGCTTCTCGATGTATCTTATTCTATGATTCCTTTAGCTTAAGCATCTGCAATGCCACCTCGGGAGTGACCAATCCCATCACCTGGCAGCGTTTAGGAGAACTCACCATGAAGTGGTCCCGCATTTATCCCACACGGCGTATGATTATGTTTCCCAACTTCAAGTACAGATGTAGTGCCATCAAACATGAAGTGGCAGTGTGGGTCCTGCACTTTGTGCCCGCCCTGCTCATGGATCTGCGAACCCTCCTCCTGGCCCAGAAGAAGCGTCTGGTCACTCCCATAGCCAAGAAGTTTCGACAGGCTTGTCTGGCAGGTAATCCTCTTAGAAGTCTTCTTTTGAAATTAATATACAGTGAACCTGCTTTTAGGAAGCTTCTTTTCGCTGAACGAATGGATTTTCAAGAATAAAAGTCGATACTATTTCAAGGATCTGATCAGTAATGGCACATATCCCACGCTCTATTGGAATCTTGAGGAACTTGACTACGATGACTATGTCCGACGCCACATGATTGGGATAAATAAATACCTTCATCGCGAAAAGTTCACCGTTGAGGCAAATAAATTCTCGGTGACTAGGTGAGTTACATAAAATAAATACCCTTTTTAACCACCGAACCCTAAAGATTTCTAGAATATTACAAATTACTGCCAAGGATGAAGCTTCCTTTTATGCTTAAAATTATAAAACCTCTTTTCACCTTACAGGATCTATTGGTTTTGGATCTTCCTGCACCTGATTTTCTACATGTTGCTGGTTCTCTTTATATTTTAGTTCAAGAGTGCCATTAATCTGTTAAGATAACTATAGTATTTAGATTAAATATTTCATATACCCTTCAAAACCGGATAAGCAGGGGACTATAATAAGAAACAATCCATTTTGTGTAGAATAACTGCCAACATTTAGAATTAACAATTCACTTAACCTAATCACAGAAAAATGTTTCATTAGCTGAGTAATACCGATACTTTTTTTGAATTGGCAAAAAAATAGTGGTCCTCCATCTACAGTCGAGTGTTATTCACATCCGATTCAATGGTCCACACTGGAGCATTCAATGGGGATTGCTCCTTCTTGTCACTGGGCTTCACCGCAGGCACAACTGGTGCCACACTTGTCCTGGGCGTGAGGAGCAGACAAGTGCATATTCCACCCAAAATACTGAACACACAGTATGATGTCAGCGACATGGCGGTGTCGATCTTTCTCAGGACGTTAAAGAACGGGGCTGAGAGGAGCCAGATTCTCGCCCAGGTGACCACGGAGAAGACATAGAGCTGCTTCTTATTCGCCGGCATCAGCTCGTTCATGCAGGCCAGGATCATGGACTGGGCACACGAGACAGCAGCCTTTGGAATGGTGGCAATGATCATCCACAGGGTAACCTTCAGATCGGCATCCACTGGGGATAGACAAAATAAATGAACACAAATCTTAAATGGAGATAAATAGATGAGTATCTACTTACTGGAGTCCGCGTTGGTGAAGATCCAACCCATGCAGCCCAGTATTCCAGCGAGTATATTGAAGACCCCGGCACACTGCCACTTCCATTTGTTATGCTTGAGGGTGAAGTGAAGGGCCAGGAAGCAACCAATGATTTCCGAGAAGCCTATGAAGGATATGGATAAGGAGTTAAGAACCTCAATATGTAACGATAAAGAAACTTATAAGAAAGGTATAAACCTTATATATAAGGTATAAACTTATAAGTAAGGTATAAAACCTTATTCAGTAAATTATTCATATTTTATAAATATGAATTAAAACACCTCTCAAATTGTAATTAATATTTCGCATTTGTGCAAAACATTTTATACGTCGATATAACTTATATTATTAAAGCTTTAAATCTAAAGTTCAAAGATTTAAGGCAATTTTTTATACTAATCACATTTTTTAACCTTTTGTTTCTCATGAATCAGATATATTTTATTCTCAACCTTTTTTCCCAGTCCATTTATAATGATTAAATCAAGCTTGATTGATATTTTAAACTTAATTTGGAGGTTGTCCCGATGATCAATGGTTTTGTGTTATTATTATAAACCTTAGCTGAGCTTTATGATTTCACTTTTCAGCTCTATAAAGTATATATATTCTTGATCAGCATCTACAGTCAGATCAAAAGCTATCTGAATACAGTTTTGCAGATAGTTTTCTGACTATTCTCTTTGGTATGAAGGTTGGAAAGGGCCAGATCGGACGACTACTATATCTGGCATTAAAACGATCGAAAAATTTTAAGAAAAAAAGTTATAGCTCTACCGTTTTTAGAATTTTTAGAATTTTTATTTAAATTTGTATGAAAACTGAACGATTATTTATTATATATCTGCCGTGAGAAGGATCTAGAAATAAATAGCATTTGCAAAAAAAGTTGCATTTTGTGGTCTATTTCACTCGAAATTGAGAGGTGAGTGTGAGTGCCTCTTGGGCTTCCATTTAGAATGTACAACAACAAAATAGATCGTGGTTCCAGGCGAGCCCTCTTAAATTGGGAGAATATTGGATGCCAAGAGTGGAAGCGTGAGAGAGAGTGTCACTCTCTGGACTCCGCCGCTCACCGCTTAAGCTCGTCCCGTTTTTTTTTTTTTTTGCCGCATTCCGAACTTCCAATAATTCTGCAATTCCCTTTGCACTTTGCATTCGCAGTCGTCTAGTTCGGTCGTAAAACGCGCAGCGCGTGTAAAAAAAGTGCGGAAAACGGGAAAACGGCCGGAAAAGTCCACGTCTTGGCGGATTCTGCTCACCGTCGTGAAAATTCAGTCCTCCGGAGGGTTCGCAACCAGATAAATGTGCAAAAAACCCGGTTGAAAGTCTGTAAATTCTACATCTGATGGCGTTTGTTGTTTTTTGGCCTAAGGAGATCGCGAAATTGAAAAACAAAAAAATTCCAAAAGTGTCATTGTTTTAAACAAGTCTTCCTAGTTTCTGTCTCGGTTTTCTTTAATTTTTGGATGTTCAACCTGCGTATTTTACTCCGGCCTGCCGTTTTTTCAGTCCATACCTCTGTGAATTATATCAAAGAAGAGAGGAGGAGGAGAGAGAGAGTGCTTTCGCCGTTTGGACCACCAACAAACAACAGAGTGAGTAAGAAGATCATTCATCTTTCTTGTCCTCTTCGTAATGGTCTTGCTAAGGCGTAGACTTTGCCGTTAGGTTTTCTCTGTCTGTTCATTGCCCTTGAAAATTGAATGTAAACAAACGCAACATAACTGCTCTCTCACGGGCAGTATGTGGATCCTAAAATGCAATCCACATCCATTCCACATTATGGATGCAAGCGCTAGGCTGTGTAACCAAAATTTCTTTATATTTAAAAATTGAAAAATTCCGTTGAAATAAGCCTTAAAGAAATTATTTTCAAGTGCCATTTTTATAAGTTTTAGTGAAAAGAACAATTGATCAAATTGATCAACTCTTCGTTATCCAATTGCAAATTTCAAGGGTATACAAACATCGGGCTGTCGAAGTTAGCTTCCATTCTTGTTGGATATAAGATATACAATTATTGTGTTAATGTTGTTGTAATTAAGATTAGTATCAGAAATACTTTGAGAACGTGAAAGCCACTTCGCATACGTGGTTTTGATAAGGAATCTTTTAAGGGTTCTTTATAGGATGTATTTATAGGTTATTTAACTCATTATAACTGCTATCTTGATTTGGGACCAATATATATTTTTAAATTATCTTATAAAATGTACAATTCTAAAAATCGCAAGTACCTCTTTAAGGTTTTTCATAATCAATATAAAACCGTTGATTGACATCAAATTAATAGGGTGTAATATAATATTTTAATATTTACACTCGAGCAGGGTATAACAATTTTCTTAATAAGCTTAAAAAAACTGTGAGGGAGTCTTTCCGACCCTATAAATCGTATATATTTTTGATCAGCATCAACAGGCGAGTCTATCTAGCCTTAGACACAAAACAAATTTTTAACCATTTTTCCAAATTTTATAATCGTCAAAATTATCAAAAATTGGGAAAATGTTTAATTTTTTAAATTTTAAATTGAGTATGCAGATTTATTAATCTAATAAAAACTAATAAAGGAAAGCTTTCCGAAGTAAGATCAATGATTTGTTTTGTATAGTTATTCGATTTTAATCGTTAATTGGTAGAGAAGACAATTGTCATTTAAAAATATCGAGAAATCAAAAAAGAAGGCAAATATTTTAAGCTTAATAATGATAGATTTCCAACTGCATCCTATTATTTGATTGCAAACAGGTGTATATAAACTTCGGCTTCCCAAAGTTGTTTCCTTTCTGGTTTATATAAACATAGGAATTGAATCTTTATTTTAATTAAAGTGAGATTAGTTGGATTATATTTTAAATTAACTTTTTAAAAGATTTCTGTACTCACCCATGGCAATGGTGTTAGGCACCAAGTAGTCCCTGCCAAATGATCGAATGTTGAGCAGCATCCCCATGAAGTTGATAACGAAGAAGGCCTGTGCCAGGTGAGCAGCCACCATGTGCGTCTTGGCCCTCTTCCCCTTCCACAGCTCCCGCCAGGGGGCCGGTGGGGGTTGGGCCTTGAGCCGCTCACTCAGCTGTTCCAGCTGCTGGCGAAAGTCGGGTGGGATCTTGAAGGTGCGATCATTTATAGCCGCCCCCTCTCGCACGATTTCCTCAACGTTATCAATAGAGACGCGGTCTACGGCATGCCGGAGGAGCCATCGTGGCGAATCGGGTGTCCAGTAGAGCAGCACGATCAGCATGATGGTGGGGAAGGTTATACCCACATAGATCAGGGACCAGCTGTTGAAGAACGAGGAGAGTCCTGGCAGCAGGATAACGCCAACAGACCAAAAGGTGTCATATAGAATGATGGCCCCAATGCGATGCATTCCCGCTGTGATATCGGCAACTAGAGGAGATTAGGTAGAAGTAATATTAATAACAAAGAGCTAAAGAAAGTTTTCTCAAAAGCTTACATATCGCCTGTCCCGCGGTGAACATGATCGCACAACAAACGGCGGACATGCAGCGGAAGGCACAATGAAGACTAAAGTCACGGGCGTAACCGGTGACCACTCCACATACGATCTGGGCCACAGCTCCTACGCAGTAGGTGTTCCTGGGACTAATGCCGAGCATCATTTTGGTACCCATAACGCCTCCAACAAGCACTCCAAACAGATGCCAGTACTGGGTCCAGGCCACGAAGATGTCCCTCAGGCAGACCAGGTTAAACTGCATGATCAGGGAATCGAAGCTGCTCTCATAGGTGAACTGTTCGCACTCTGTGCTACTTCCGGTGGCTTTATCCATCACATAACACTGATTTTCAGATACTATGTAGCTGGAATTATCTCCACTGTCAAGGTAGCTGGTATCGCAGGTAAATTCCGAGCCGGGATACAGCTCTGGGCCGGTGAATATGATGCAGGCCATGAACCAGGCAGCGGGAATCTTGCACAGAAAGATGATGAGTATCGTTCTCAGTTGCCAGATCCCAAAGTCCCCCACGACATCGCCAATGATGTCGCTGCCCGGAGGCACTGGTGGTGGCCCAGCTGTCATCCGCTTGGCCGCATCCGTTTCGATCTCATTGGGCAGGATGTGGGGTAGCGTTGTGGTGCCTCCACCTCGGGCTGGTGACTCGTTGACCATTGCTCCAGTGGCGCCTCTCTAGAAGAGCATTCTGTGAAAAGCAAGCGGAGATGGCGACATGCCGTTCCATTTGTTTGTTTATTAATATTATGTCAATACCCGTGGCACGCAATTGATATAAATTGAAAGCGGTTTACAGTTGAAGTCAGTTGTTCAAAGGCATTGAATATCACGCGGGATTCCTGAAATATCTGCGGTTACTATCTCTGATTGATTTTCAATATGAAACAGATGGGTGAATGTCATAAATAAACATGATTAAAAAGACTTCCCTCATAAATATGGACAACTTAGAAAGGCATTCTCTTTCAAGCTGAGCGTCTTAGCTCTATTGATATTTACAATTAACTGCAGTAAAAATGGCATATCTCTGTTTAATTTATTTATTGCCATCTTGCTAGTTATTTGTAGAGATTTATTTGTTGTTTTATAATGTAACCTTAATTTATTTAATTTATTGACAGATTAAGTAAGCCCATTGGATTACTTGAACTGTCTCAAAGTTCTCGCTTGATATCATATCACAAATCACGTTCACACTGATTAGGGTTTTATCGATAAGCCAAAAGGAGGTTGATTAAAGCAGATAATAAGTACCGCTCCGTTCTGTCGTACTATCTGGTTGTTAGTCCCTTATTTGCAGGTCGCAAACCTTGCGACAGATTGGCAGTCATAAGATTTAGTTGTTAATTCCACAAAGATTTACTTGACGCCGCTTTTGTTGGATCAACTGAATACACAGAGTCTTTATGCTTCAGTTTCACAGGTGCTAACTCGCTATTGTCTGGCTGGGAAGTCCGTCCGTCCGCCTATTGGTCTCTTATTGGTCGCGCAAATATTTTAATATCTCATTTTCCAGGCAGTGCTAATTGCAGAAAACTGGTCCGTGCGCTGGTCGTGAATATTTGATTTCCCTATTTCACTAAAACACCGATATACCATCTAAGGCAGTGTCAGTGGCGGCAGGTGCGAGTTATTAGTTGAATGACTTGTTTCAAATGGAAATGCAAATTAATAAAAGCTTACGGAGGCAGAACTGAGCCCCTGGGAGGAGGCGGGTATTTGGATCAAATGAATGGAATGCTCGAGTTTTTGACAGGAGTATGATTAAGCGAACTCAATTTCCACCTAATATGCACTTTTCTATAATGAAAAACAGATATTTTAGATAAAAATGAATTACCCGCATATTACTTATTAAATTATTGGTTTTATTTGTCGTAAATAGCTACTTTTTATATGATCACTATATTTAAACCGATCTTTTCCAAATATTTCCATAAATATTCACTTCTTGCTTTATTGCTTGTTCGTTTAATTTCATTTAAATTACTTTTAATTAAGCGTCAGTAAAACTTATTCACATTTCTAGGTAACTTTTGATACTTGCAGGTTTACTGTTCGATATTTATTTATTAAGAATCTACTGTATTTGAGATATACTGTATTGAGATACTTATTGAATTATTGGTTATTATATAAAAAGCTCCATTTTTATATGGTGACTATGTTAAAACCGATCTTTTCCAAGTAAATCAGTAAGTTTTCATTTCTTGCTTTATTGTTTCTTCGTTTAATTTCAAAGAAATTAATATCAAGCGATAATTAAAATAATTCATATTTGTAGGTAACTTTAGATACTTGTGTTCCATATTTATATATTAAAGATCTACTGACCTCTATCAAAATAACACCTTTTAACTATCTTTAATCACTGTTTCACCGCAAAATAATTCCGTTAAATATGTTTCATTGGCCAGACAATTTGTTTCTTCGCTGTTTGATTGCATACAAATTAATGTAAATTAATTAACCGACATAAATGGCAGCCTTTCGATTCACACGTCCCACTCGGGGTTTTCTTCTTGAAGCACACGCGTCTCAATCGTCCGAGAATCAAATGGCAACTGACGCCAGAGTCGCTCTGTGGGGCTACAGGCAGGGAGCGAGTCGACTGTTGTGTGTCCCCTCGAAGCGTTAATTTTCTTAATGAATTTGCTCAAATAATAAAAAATACAAAATCTATTGAGCGGGTTATATATGTTATTGAAAGTTTATTTCTTCATATTTTTGGACTTTTAAAGTCTGCATTTTATTACGAAACCAAAAGGATTTTTGGGCTATTTCTCTGTTTGTTTGCACATTTAATATTTAATATTACTGACAGCCGGCCGGTGGTGGTGGGTCGATAGAGTGTCTTTCAATGCTCTTTATGTTATTAGTTTCAGTTCGAATTTACCCCTATCAGGTGTGCATTATCTTGGTGCGGGTTGGGGGGTCCTCTCTTCGAAGGAGGAGGGTTAATAGCCGGGAAGCCATAACGTTATTACTTGACGTTATCAGTGTTTGCCTTTCGGGCTTGTACTAATTCGTCTTCGCCTTCCTTGCGGATTTCTATTTTAATCTTTATTGTCTCCGCTGCTGCCTTTTTTTAGCCCATTTGGTGACACATCGCATCGATTGATGTAGTATTTTCTCTACATTGACCTACATCAATATCGAAACTGTAGATGTACTTGATTTTGAACTTTTATCCTGTTGAGTATAGTTTCAGGATGTATGCATACAAACGTCATGAATTGATTATCACAGAGTTGTCATTTAAATTTGTTTAATTTGATATAATTTGTAACGCACCGTTTTGCTAATTAAGACTAAAAAATCCAGAGTTTAAACAAAAGAAAATGTATAACTCAATTAGCAAGATCTGACGTTGCTCTGATTTGCATTGGATTAATACCGGTTACCTTTAGGCAAGCCTTTAAATTTGTGGCGAAATTTATCAAAGTGATGAATGAGAGAGTGCTTCAATTTATACATTTTATATTTATTAATCAAATGCCTAATGAGTCTACTGACTTTTTGTTTAAGGTTTAAGAGAGGAGCTTCATTAGGATCTTTTTACATTTCTTATCAATATAATTCTTATTAGTATATTAAGGCACAACCAATGCATCTTCATGCTATAGATCCTTGAAAGAGCCTACTTTTAGGCTTTCTTCAAGAAGCTCCTCAAATGGTCTCCGAGCTGTGCGATCTTAAAGCTTCCGGTTGTTGCTGTTCCATTTCCAATTCAATCTCACTTGAAGGGTGAAAGTTAATGTGCCAAATATCGGCTATGCTCACAGCCATATTTCGTTCAAAGTTACTCAATAGTTCATTGCTATAGGCACTACACTCCGAACTGGCAGAACTGCAGCGGCGCATAATGATGGCCGACTGGCGACGATAGGTGTTTGGAGTTGGCACCTGGCTGATGTGTGGCTGCTCCGAATTCCAATAGTAGCGATTGAGGCGACGCAGAGCCAAGCCATAAATCCAAGCTAAGGTGGCCAAAATGGTGATGGGCACCAGGTGATGGACGACAGTGAGGCAGCTGAGCAGCGGGGAGAAGACCAGGCACAGACGACTGAATGAGACCACAGATAGGAGTAGATAGACTCGCTTCTCGTTGGACACCATTTCACCTGTGCACGTGGTCAGCACGGCTATAGAGGCAGAGTTGGACACCTTTAAAATGAGCCAGAAAAGCAGTTCCAGTCCTACTCGTCGGGAGTTGCGTTCTACTGGGTTAAAAAATGTTTTAGATAGTATAGATTTCATGTACATTAAATCCTCACCAGTTTCTGGTAGCAACCAGACAAGATATGTGCTGAGACCGGCTATAATCATGAGATTTCCAGCCCAGCGCCAATGACGACGCGTATACAGGATCATATAGAGTCCCACAAAGAGTCCCACCATCTCGGCGAATGCCAGGGCGGCGGTGTTTACGTGCACCTGTTGGGTCCCCAGGTTGCGGATCATCAGCAGGGTGATGTTGTAGATGACCATGGCTCCGCCCCAGATCCAGTGAATGTATATCACTTGGCTACGCTTCGTCTCTCCATCCCAAATTTGGCAGTAGCTTCTCTTTTGCTCGGCCTTTAGCTCTAGCTCCTTGGCGAGTCCTGTGAGTTGAACGTCCAGGGTGAGCGGAACCTTCCGGTTGTTGTAGGTGGCTGACTCCAGCAGTTGGCTCAGAGCATCCTCCACACGCTGGTGCTGCAGCAGCCAGCGAGGAGCATCCGCTATCCAGCGATGCAGCCAGACTAGTACAATGAGGGACGAGGAGATGGCCACGTATAGGTAGCTCCAGTCATCGAAATATATGGATATGGCAGGCAGCAGGACGAGACCTATGGACCAGAACAGCTCCGACAGAGTGACCACAATGATGCGAGCCTTTCCTGAGGTGATGTCGTTTACTAAAGGAAATACATATAAAAGTTAGTTCGTTGCTTAAGTCTTTTGATTTGATTTAATTAAAGACTTGACTCACATATAAACTGTCCGGAAGTGTACATGAGAGCACAGAATATGGAAGTTAGACAGCGGAAGTAGATGTGCAATTGATAGGTGTCCACCAGGCCAGTTAGATTACCACAGAATATCTGGCCAATCATTCCCAGCAACATCAGGCGACGGGGACTGATTCTGAAACATATAAATATATTTTAAAAGTTAAAATAAGAAATATATTTAAAAATACAAACCTCTTGAGGGCCGAGAAGGCCATTAGTCCACCAATAAGTGCACCGAAGGCATGCGAGGATTGCGTCACCGCCACTAGAACGCGGCGAGAGCAGATCAAATCGAATTGAGTAATCAATGACCTGTAATCGGTCATGTGCTCCACGTGCTCGCAGGGCAGCGAAGATCGAGCATGAGGCTCCAGCGATTCCGAGGCATTCCATTCCCTCCCATGACTCCTCACGAATCCTCTGGCCAGGGTCTGGGAATAGGCATTGCAGACATCCACATTGAACAGACGGTCGGTGCTGCGTGCATCCTGCCACAACGGATGATTCCTGCTCAAATGCTCAGTCCGGGTCCGGTTGGCATTCCACTCCGATGGGTGGCATACCAGCTCACCCTTCCAGGGTATCGGAGCTGTGTAGACAATGATGGCCGTGAACCAGGCGCTAGGAATTTTGCATAGGAATATCAACAGAATGGTGCGAAGCTGCCAGCGTCCGAAGCTGCCGTGGACCTGCTCCACCACGTCTAGACCAGGGCAGGATTTCCCCAGATTGCAGACACTGGACTGCGATTGGGACTGAGATTGGGAGTCCGGCATGTTCCGAGCAAGCTTACACCTCGGTGTACGTCCGTGCACTGAGTTTGCTAATTTTTCATCGATCCCCATCGCCTGAAAACGATGTTTGCTCTTCCGTTTAGTTGTCCCCTCAAATTGGTGCAAATTAGTCGGAGATTTTCTGCCCCGACTGGGTGAGATGTCTTATTATTAGGTTTGTTTTCTTTATTCCATCAGTGACGTAGGAGTGCTGGAACGGCACATCTACTTAGTACCCAATAAATATTGATTGTCTCTCAAAAGGAAGCAAATTTTCCATTAATAAACCAATGTCATAATAGTGCCCTAATTAATATGATTCACACAAATGTTTGTTTATCTTTAATATAAACTGTGGCTTGATCTATTTAAAAGTCGGATGGAAGTGGAATATTAGGCTGGAAATAGAAGGAATAAATCACGTAAGACCTAAAAGTATGCAGCCTCTAAATTAGAGCCTTCGAGTTTGTTTTGGAAATATATTTTTTTTCATATCCCAAAAGTATACTTTACTTTCTCTAGGATTAACAATAAACTCTAGTGCTTTGAAACCCCATTCAGCCATAGAGAATAATAGAGAACAATGGTTTCATATATTCAATAATTCATTTGTTTTTATTCAATTTTACCTGCTCTTATTTCATGTGTTTGCATTGCTTTTTGTTATTCTCAATGTGTGTTTTTGCGCGATACAAAATTGTTTTTTTTTTTGTTTTGCTTTCTTCCCCCAAAATCATAATCATTAAAATGCAAATAAAATTGTTTGTGAGCATGCTCAACATATGCAATTCCATAATTCCCATTATGGCTGCTTTATATATATATAAAATGGCAAATGCTGAGTTTGCCTTACAGATTACAATTATGCAATTAATCAATATTTGGAAATATTTTACATCATTTTTAGGGGGCAACATGTGTGTATGCTCTTGAATAATTTAGGCAATTGGCTTTATGTATATATATTTCGTTGGCTTTTTGTTTGATCAAATTTTGGTTTCATTTCATGGGCTTTCGTTTGATATCAATCTCCAATTAATTATTGTCTGAAACAATTATGTCAGCTAACAACTCTAACGTGCTTTGTGTTGTTTTTATTTTTTGCTTCTGGGGGAAAACAATAGAATTATGTGAATCTCTATGCTCATATTTATATTGTGTGTATGTTGTTTAACTTTATTCTGCCGTATTTACAGTGGTCTCTAATATTAAAATAAAATAAATGCGTTGTTGGATCGAAAACATTTCGCAAGCACTATGCTCTTAGACTAATTGTGGATTTGGCTTTGCAGAGACTTGGCGTAACAAAAGAACATAAACTACTACGTACTTATTACAAATTAATTAATGAATTATTTAATCTAAGGTATGGCCTGTGATGTGGCGGATGCGCTATGAAGGCGATGTTTCAATTCGAGTGTGTTTCTGCACTGCTCTCTCTTAACTGATTGAATTAAATAAAGTACACGCAAGTATTATGCAAAGTATTTACATTTCGTCTGAGGGTTACAGGTGCGACTTATTAGCAAGGAGTACAGTAGAGTAGGTCATATAGGACTTCTTCGGAGGTGTGCTTAGCTTAGGATTTAGGTTTTGGTTTAGATATAATGCGCGCACTGAGATTTCGCTCGATCGACCTGTAGTTACTTGAGGTGTGAATATGAAACAAGCCAAGTCCGCTAGATGTTCTTTTGTTCTTTATCTGCTTAATTAACATTATGCTTACGTGCTAGTTTAAAGTCCTTCGGTTGATTTTTTTTGCTGATGCTTTTGCGGTGCCGTAACCTTAGTGACCACCCCGACTATCTTATTATCCTTCTATTTTGCCCTGCCCAGCTACATATTTATGAGTTGGTGTGTGTGTTTGTGTCCTACAGCTAGTCTCTAATCATTAATATTTGGTTTGGAGTTCAATGATCCGTGCTGAGCCCATCGTCCACATTGCTGTCCCAGTTGAATTCCGTGACGCCCTGCTTGAAGTAGATGTTGCCCAGGTTGGCATAGCGTTGCTCGAAATTCGAGTCCTTTGCCTTTAGATGTTCAAAACTGCAAGGAAAATGAAATGATAATTATTAGTAATTACTAATAATTTAGTAATTTATAAACAAATTAAGTACGGTTTCAGATCTGCCTAAAGCAACTAGTGTGGGTGTGTGTGATATAGATTAGAAGGCTGTTATTTTATAGTCTTATAAGTCTCATTGTACGTTTAAAGGGTACTATAATTTCAGGCAATAGTTTGAAACGCGGTGAAGGAATCGTGTCCGACCCTAAAAAGCATATATATTATTGATCAGCATTAAAATCCAAGTTGAAACAGCTATTCAAAATTTTATAGGGGTTTACATCGTTAAAATTTTCAAAAATCCGAAAAAAATTGTATTTTTTTTAACTGAAAAGTAATTATACATTATAATTTGTTACCCTAACAAAAACTAGCATAGAAAAGCTTTCAGAATAAAAATAAATGTTATTTTTATTGTTATTATTATGGCTTATATATTATGATCATGATGTTATGACCATGAGCATAATCAAACTAAAGGGTATTCTTTCTTTTTCCATCTTCATATACCCTTGCAGGGTATTATAATTTCAGTCAGAAGTTTGCAACGCAGTGAAGGAGGCACTTCCGACCATATAAAGTATATATATTCTTAATCAGGATCAATAGCCGAGTCGATCTAGCCATGTCCGTTTGTCCGTCTGTCCGTTTCTACGCAAACTAGTCTCTCAGTTTTGAAGCTTCTAAATGAAACTTTGCAGTTAGCCTTCTATATACTCTCACTCGTATATATGTCGGAACGGGCCGGATCGGACGACTATATCATATAGCTGCCATAGCAATGATCGGAACATTTTTACAAAAAAAATTATAACATTTTCAGTTTTCAACAGAATTTGATCAAATTTTAGATATAGTTGTTTCATATTAGTCTACAACTTTTTGTAAAATTTTATGAAAATCGGACTACTATATCATATAGCTCCCATAGGAACGATCGAGAAAATAATACAATTAAAAAATATAACATTTTCAGTTTTCAACAGATTTTCATCAAATTTGAGGTATAGCCATTTAATATCAGTCTTAAATTTTGTGTCAAGTTTTATGATAATCGGATCGAGGTGCCATACAAACGATCGTTAGATGTGGAGCAAAAATGCAAATTTGTGACTGTAAAACTACAAATATAATATGTATAGGTGAATGAAATGAAAGCGGGTATTACTTCATTGTTTTTTAACACAAATATATATAATTTATATTGTATGGATTCCTAGTCATAGAAGTTCTATCTGCAAGGGTATATAAACTTCGGCGAGCCGAAGTTAGCTTCCTTTCTTGTTTTTATTATCCAATTGTACTCAATATTCACAAAACGAAGAAACCTATTCATTACAATATATATGTATAGATTTCATAAGCCGAATTTAAATTTCCTTAAAAATTATTGCATTAAAATATATTTCATATGTCTTTCCTTTATTCCTTTCCGATTTCTTTATAATTTCTTCAAAATACAATTCCGAAATGCATATCCTGTATAATTAACCTTATTTTTAGGTAGCCATTGTTTCTTATGCCTTCCAAGTATTCCTCCAGGTAGGCAAAATGTTAATCACTAGCACTTTGAGCGGGTAATCGACTTTCTTCTGGGATTTACAGGACAACTTGTGTTTGCATTTCCTTCCCGTTTTTCCCGTTGCCACCTCCGTCCTCTTCCTTAAACCCGAAACCCTCGGCATTGTTGCTCTTCCGACAAAAGCTGCTCAATTTACTTCTGCGCAATAGAACCGCGTCTTATGTGTGCGAGTATTATATGTGCACCCGTAATAAAAAGAACCCTCAATTGTTGATGCAGCTGCCCGGGTCTGGGGCGAGTACAGCTGTAGGCTCTGTGTACTGTGTGTACTGTGTGTATAAATCCAAGTCTTGGGCCGGGCAAGACTTCACTTACCTTGCCCGGGGCACATTGTGAGCACTGCAGAAAATGTCATAGGTCATAAGCGGGCATTGTGCGGCCCAAGACAAAGGATATAAGGCAGGGATGCAGCCTTCAGAGATTTCAAGGGAAAGAGGAAATCGGCGGAAGGTGAAGGCGAAGGGAAAACCCCGTCAACAGGCTTAAGTCACAATTAATGAAGCGAGCTTGCAGCCACCAAAGGTTGTTGTTGTTGTCACTACCAAATGGTGGTGGTGCATGGGTATTTTCCTCCGTTTCCTAGGAGTATGGGTATTTAATGCAAGACGGTTTGAGGTTAAACCACCCTTGAGGAGGAAGCCCAGGCGCAGGCGCAGCTGTTCCGTTTCGCTTGAAGAACTGAGGAACTGAGGAACCAAGGAACCGTTCCATCGGTTGCCCTAAGGGGAGGAGTTGAACCCAAAGGGCCACGTGTGCGTAATCAGCGTCGCAAGAATCCATCCATCGGCTTGCATGGCTGCCTTTCCACTTTTTTGTTTTCTCGTTGGGAAGGGAGGTTCAGCCTGAGAAAATTCCGTCACATTTGGAAAGAGTGAAATCAAAATCTAGAACTCGTTCTTTAGGGTTGTGACTGAGCCTGAGAAAAGCCTCAATTTTCAAGTACAGCTTCTAACAAAAAATGGGTTTTCACACCACAATAACTCACATATAATGTGCTTTTTTGATAATACATTTATTTTCCGGTTGAAGGGAGAACGAAACTATACTACAAATGCTAAAATTTAAAGATAATAATAATAAGAGGTCAGTAGGGAATATGTAATGCATGCCAATAAAGGGGATATGCCTCTTTTGACTGCTTGAATATTTAAAATCCAAATCAAAAATGAGTCAATCTACAACTAGTTTCAGAAATTCTTTAGAGAATTGATGCCTCTATTAAAAAGAAAGTGTTGAAATGTCAGCCAAGAGCAGTTTTAAAGGATATATCCAAAAACACCTTGAGCTGGATTGTGTGTCGCATGAAATGTATATTTCTGATCAGATCTTAGCTAAGGTTTAATTTATATAATTTATAAATAGAACAATATAGTAAATGGTACGGATAAAATTAAGAATCGGCCTAGACGTTGCGCGCCTTAAGCACCTGCTTCTGGGGCGGACTGGGCACATTCTCCTTGCCGGCGAACAGGACCGTCTTCTTGGGCGTGCTTCCTGCGGCGGACTTGGGAGTGCGAGGGGTGCGTGGCGTGCGCGGACTGCGCGGTGTGTGCGGGGTCTGTGGCGCCGCCTTGGGTGTGCGCGGAGCAGGGCGGGGCGAGGACTTGCAGGCGAGGAGCTCGCTGATCTCGCTGCTGCTATCCTGGCGTACGCACTTCTCCGAGGAGTTTAGCAGCCAGGAGGTAATCTTGTCGCACTCGGAGCGCAGCTCAGTGTCGATCAGCAGATCCTCAATCTTCTCCAAATCGGTAGTGTTCGACCGGTTGGCCTTGCCGGGTGTTCCCAGCAGAACAGCTGCCGAAGCCGGCTGCTTAGACTTGAGGGCGATGTTCTCCAGCTTGAGCTGCTCACACTCCTCTCGTACCTTCACCAGCATTTGCTCCTTGTTGTCCAACTCCAGCTGGGCGAACTGCAGCACGGTGGCGAACTCGTCAAGGGCCCGCTTCATGTCCGCCATGTAGGCCTCGCGGGTCTCGTCCTTGCGACGCAGCTCGTGGTAGTGGGCCAGCTGGGCATCGCCGTCGATACGCTCCTGGAACGAGTTAGCAATCTGATTGAATTTTGCCAACGTCTCAGCCTCGCCGGCAAGCAGCTCGTGGAGCATGGACTCCTTCAACGATACCTCGCTTTGCAGCGTCTGGGAGGATGAGCGCAATGCGGAGAGTGCCTCCTGGCTTTCGGCCAATTGCTGGCGCAGCTGCTCCGCGTCCGCCTGCAGTCCCAGGTAGCTCTGCTCCAAAGCTCCCTTGGCCAGCTGCACCGATTCCAGCTCCGCGCGGAACTGCTCGACATCCGCGTCCGATTTCTTTAGTCGCTCCATCAGGATGTTGACGGTGGCTCGTGTGTTGGTGAGGGTCAGCTGGTAGTTATACTTCTCGGTAATGGTCTTGGCCATGTCCTGCTTGAGCTGCACCAGCTGCTGCTGCAGTGCATCGCTCAGCTGGATGTAGTAGTCGATGCCATTGCGGAGCTGCTCTTCGCACTTTTGCAGCTTCTCGTCCCGCTGGCGCAACATGTCATTGGTGGTCTCCAGCAGCACCATCACATCCTGCTTCTCCAGCTCGATCTTGATCAGCTCATTCTCGGCCAGCTTCTGGCGCTTGTCCAGCTCCGCGCGCCAGTAGCTCTTCTCGCGCTCCACAGCGCCCTCGAGGTCGCTCTCCACCTGCTGCTGCACCTTGGCCACCGCCTGCTGCTGCTCGGCATGGCGAGCCTGCTCCCGGCACAGCTGTCGGATGGTATCGCAGTGGGCATCAATCTCACAGTTCTTGTCCAGCAGCTCGTCCTGCAGCGATCGGATGAGGGTGCACTTGTTGGCCAGGTCGTTCTTCAGTGTGTTGCGCTCCACCTTGAGGCACTCAAGCTCTGCCTGGCTGCTCTTGGCCTCCAGTCCATAGGCCAGGGCATCGTGCTCGATCTGCTGCTTCAGCTGACCAACATCGGCCATCAGAGTGGCGTTGCTTCGCTGCAGACTCTCGACCAGCTCAATGTTCTGCGCCGTCTTGGCCTGCTCCTGGCTGCAGTGTTCGCGTGCCTGGGCAACGTCCGCCTGGAGGGCAGAGAGCTGCACCTGCAGCTGCTGCTCCACTGCCTGGCGCTCCTCGTTGGTCGCCTGCAACTGCTCGTTGGCCAGACGCAGGGCCTCGCTCTCGGCAATCAGTGTCTCCACTTGACGCTCGTGCTCCTCGCGCTGCTGCTGCAACTGCTGCTCCAAGGCGGCGAATTGCTCCAGAAGATGCGAGTGCTCCTGGCTCATCTGCTCATTGTGGGCCTTGTGCGAGAGGTTCTCTTCGGTTAGAGCTGCGATCATCTGCTCTGTCTTGGCAGTGGCCAGGTCGTGCTCCTCGCGCAGCTTGGCCTCGGCCTCCTTGAGCTGCTCTACATGGCGCCTGAGGACATCCAACTGACTCAGTTGACTCTCGATCAGCTCATTCTTGTGACGAATCTCATACTGCAGCGCCTCCTTGCCCTTCAGCCGGCTGGCGGACTTGGCCTCCTTCACAGGAGTTGTGGCAGCGGAGTGCAGAGGTGTTGAGGCTGCCGTGGAGGCTCCACTGGCAGTGCCACTGGCCCCCGCATCCGTGTGGCTGGGCGTTGGACGGAAACGCAGGCGCTGCGGCAGAGATGGAGTACGGAATAGCCGCAGTCCCTTTGACTTCTTCTCGTCCTTGGGAATGGCAAACTCCTTGGCCTCCTTGGAGCTGGAGGCAAAGCGCACGGCATCTTTGAAGAACTTTTCGATCTGCTCCTTGCGCTCTGGCTGAACGGTGGGAGCAGATGCTGCTGCTGCTGTGGGCGTGGCACTGCCCGCTGATCCTGCCGAGCTGTTGGAGGCAGCCGGCGAGCCACAGATGGCCACATCCACATCATTGAAGCGCTTCAACTTGGCCTTGGAGAACGACATTCTCGTGTGAACTTTTGTGTCTTTTTCCGGGAGGAAGGGATCTTCGATCAACAATATAACGATTTCTTTGGGATCGGTCTTAATAGCTCATAAACAACGTTCGCTTTAACTTTTTGGTAATAACAATAACTCAATGATCAAACATAAACACAATTTTAACTTTTTTTGGTTTGTTTCGTTTTAAAGTTTGTTTTGTTTTTTGTTTCTTTTTGGTCGGGGGTAAATTTTGTAACAAATCGTCTGCTAGTTCGTTTTATATAATTTTTCTTCTGTATTTTTTCGGTCCGTTCTATCCTGCAATAAACCCGCTTTCCCGTTGCTACCCGTTGCACTGTACCTACGCGTTGCGATGTCAAAACCTAACTGAATTCAACTTTCCACGGAGATCCCCGAGGCAGGCATTCCCTTTAGCAGGAGAAGGTTGAAGGAGAGTTAGGGGAAAAGAGATAGAAGGAGAGAGTGAGGGAGACAAGCGAAAACAACCCTCGATTAAGGGTCGTTGCAACAATGATCCCTCTCTCTCTCTCAGTATGCATGGGAAATACCCTATGTCAGGTTGGGTAAAGCCGACATCTTTTACAGATAAATCGGATCGGTGAAAACTTTTTACGATATTTTTTCTTTGCAACTTGAATGCATTTTATAGGTAATGATTAATTTAAAAGTTATCATTATAAGCAGGAAAATACGTTACAAGAATTGCAGATATTTTTAAATATTTATATTATATTACATATTTTTTAAATTTGTGTCACTTTCGACCCTATAAAGTATATATTTTCTTGGTCAGCACCAAGATTGGAGTTAATCCGTCTGTGCGTTTCTAATCTCTCAGTTATCCGAATAAAACTTTAGCTGCAACTTAATCTTCTTTCAATACTCATAAGTAAATAAGTCTTACAAGGACAGATCTGACGACTATATCATATAGCTGCAATCGATCATAACTAAGCCAAAACTAAATTTTGTTAAACTTTTAGTAGAATTTTTGTTTAATATTATATTAGTTATTGATTAAGATTTCTTTTGGCTATGATTGGCTTTTTTGTCCTTCGTATACCTCCAGGGTAACCTAAAATTTCTGTATTCAAGGTATTTTAAATCAATATTATGATATGTTAGTTTTTTGGGTAAATTAAAGTTTTTCAAATAGCATAACTCAGCCAAAAATGCCTTGATTTCAATTTGGATAACTTTTCTTTGCTGGTTTTTATAAGGCCAACAAATCTGCATATTAAGTTTCAAAATTTACAAAATTAAAATTTTTGTCAAATTTTGACAATTTTAATGATGTAACCCCTTATAAAATTTTGAAATTTTGAAAAATTTTTGAAAATTTCTTTTTCAACCCTAGATGTCTAGATCGATTCTGCTGTTGATTCTGATCAAAAATATATATAACTTATAGGGTCGGAAACGACTCCTTCAGTGCGTTGCAAGCTTCTGGCTGAAATTTAAAAAACCCTGTAAGGCTTTAATTACTAATTATAAATAAGAGTTCATTAAAAGTTATTTTCACAAAATTTCCAAAAAGATTTAAGAGTATTCCACATTCGAATATAACCCCAATAACTCTACTCTACTGACTCCCTTGTCGGTTTGTTTTGGTGGTGGATCGTGCCGCAGATCCTCGTCCCTTCTACGTCTTATCGGAGTATTTGTCAAGACGTCGCGACGTCGTGTGTATGCCAAGAGACCCATTATATGTTAGGAAATGTTTTCTTTTTAGCGCGCGCAAATGTTGCAATTGTATGTTAGTTGAAGATAGCACGAGGAGGGTTCCCTTCCAGGGTGAGATAGGACGACGGGGTTCCGCATTCCCTCGCTCCGATATGGGAAATGTGCCGTGTCAAAGACGCTCGCGCATCTGTCTGCTCTTCCTGTATTTCCCCTAGATTGCTTCCAAGGATCGCAACTACGAGGACGAGTGAGTGCTCGTACAAGGATATGACTGGATAACTAAAGGGGCTGATTTATCCGTTAGCTCCAACCCAGCTGGCAACCAGCATAAGTTGTTAATTCGATACGAAATCCGATGCCCGCATAATTAGGAGGAAAATGCGATAGAGTCGCGCCTGCGCGGTGAGTTGAATGGGATCGAGGTTGATTGAATTGCATGGAAAATGGAAAAGCGTCGGGTGCAAATTGATTTCCCCCGATCACGCGAGGGAGTTGGTCGCATTGGGTAGTTGGGAAAGGAGGGGAGATCCTGCTGATACTGCGGTAACAACTGCCTGCATTCCCCTCTCCTACCTTTAGTGAGAATGTCACAACTGCCAACTGCTGCTCAGCTGGTTGCTCCTTTCGAAGGCAAACAATGCCCGGAGAATATTCCAGCAAACGGAAGGTGATAATTCTAGGTTAAATCAGGCAGGCATAAAATTCTGGGTGGGTCAACCACACACACTCACAGCTGTGCCGGTGAGACAAGAAGATTTATTTTCTTATATATCTTAGGGTTTCGTATTCTATAATGATTGTTTGTAGGGAGTTATATATAGAGGGACCCTAAAGCCTTAGGCGCTTTCCTTAGCAAAGGTATATCTCTCTCCTTTATAATGAAAAGAATAGTTTTAATACATTTTAAAATGTTTTAAATATATAAATCATTTTAAAAACGCATTAAAAAAATGTTAAGCTAATCATCAATTTAAAATCACTAACAACAAATTTTTATGCCCCAGCACAGGCACTTTCAATAGGTTTTCACAATGTAATTAACAATTTCCCAGAGCTAGGACAACCCTTTTGGTATAATTTTCCCATGCCTGCTCATGCATAACGATAATGATCATTGAAAGCGTTATAAAGTAACGCGATCTAATGATGGCACCATGGTCTCCATTCTCCTCTTATTTCCCTCCAAAACAATATCCTTGTGCCGGGGGCAATGTCAACACAACAGACGGAAAAGTACCGGAGACAAAGGACTCGGTGACTGGCTTGGCCCCTGAATGATCAAAGGGGTTCACGCACCCCCGTGGGATACAAAGCGCTACAAATAGACCTGGACCTGAGTCATCGACCTCCGATCCAGATCGTTCCGTTCCGGGGGATGCTTGTAAAGAAAGAAGGAACACCAAGGAACCAAGAAACCGGAGTCATGTTCAGGTTTTTTTCGACCAGACAAAACTAGCTGAGACAGTAAATATCTATCGGCACAAAAGCCAATTAAGTTGGGTGTTATAAATATGTTTTTTAAAGTAAAGAGATGTTCCTCTCCCCAGAACTCACCGCTGAAAGAGTAACGTCTTGGCAAAGGCATACAGCTCAATGTCCAGGCCATTGAGCTTTTCGATGCGACGCCTCTGATCCTGTCGCAGATTCAGGACAGCAGCCGCCGAGATCGTGGTGTTGTGCTGCTCGAAGGGAATGGCAAAGCGCAGGTTAAAGGTCTCCTCAAATATATATTGGGACATCTGGCAAAAAATAATGAAATCATTTAGTAAATACATTTATTTATAATCAGTGTTCAAGCTCACCTTTTGATACTCAGTCAGTCCAAAGTAGGCCATGGCGGCCAGATTGCGCTTGGCGCTGGCCAGCATCACGCGATCCCTCTCATGGGCGGGCATCGAGGACTTGTTGTAGCAACCAACAAGGGCCAAGTCGGCCAGCATGCGAGTCTGCCGGTTAGCCGCCAGATTCGACTCACAGCCGGCGAACTGGTCCAGGTCCACGTCCAGCCAATCCTTGCCCTTGTAGCAGGCAGGGAGCTCCGCGGCAGAGGCCTGGCGACCCAGGCACCAGTGCCGCGATCCCTTCCAGGTGGCTCCACGCCGCACGTGCCGGTACTCGGACATGTAGCGGGCAATTGGCTCACGGAGCAGCGAAATGTAAAAGTATCGCCGCTTGGCCGTCTCGCCCTCATTCTTGTCCAGCTCCACGTCCACGCAGCTGGTCAACTCGGTCCAGTCGGCGTGCAGGCCACACTTCCAGCCCGTCGAGTAGCGGGAGAAGAGCCAGTTCTCATTGCGATGTGGCCGGAAGCAGTAGCAGCGCTTCCTTTGCCGCTGGCACTCGCAGGGACGCTGCAAGGGATAGGAAGCAGAATGAGTAGAGAAACTAGTTAGGATATTAAAGTCAATCTTACCTTGAGGTCCAGATCCCTGACCAGATGGCGGCCAAACGAGGTGCCGCCCGTTTTCTGGATATGCAGAAAGACCATTACATCATGGCCATCCATGTCGAACTGAAAATCATCGTTCAGCACATCCTCGTAGCTCAGCCCGGCATTGGCGATGATGTTCTGGGGGGCAGATGCTGATGCAGATGAGGATGCCTTCGATGCCATGGCCGTAATACCATTGGAATTGCCATTAATGCTGTTGGCCTGATGGAGTGGGAGCTCATTATAGGCGAGTATATCCGATGACTGCAGTAGCACGGCGCGTTTGGATAGGGCGCATACCTGTGGTTAAAGTGAAGGGAAAGCGGTGTTATATATTTACAGGATCGAATTTTGTTGTACCCTTAAAATTGCAATTCCCTCTGCACTCCCTATAATCATAAGCTGAGTGAAGCTCCTGTTTAAGGTCATTATTTCATTTTACATTTTCTCTGTCGGCAATAGCCTTAAATTAAATTTATTGGCTGAAAAAAAATGTAAAAAGCTCAACCTTGTGTGTGCTCTAGTGTTTGTTTTCAGCATTAATTAAATGCACATCGAGATTAAATGCATATTTCTGGTTCGACACAGGTGGGCCCTCCAACCGCGCGGAACTTCATTTACCGGCGTTTTCCCACTCAACTGGCTGCATTTTCCTCCTTTTTTTTCTCTCCTTGTCGGTTTGCACTTTATTTGCCGGGCGCCCGGTATGTGCCATTTTATTTATGGCACGTACTCAAGGCTTATTAAAATCGAACAAGGGTTTATCCCTTTTCATTGCACTCACACCAATTAAGTACCGTATATGAGCGATGTGAGTAAATTTAATGTTTACTTTCGATAATATTAATGGCTGCACACTGTTCCCAGTGGTTTTGTTTGCTTATATGATGGGTATAAAAAATATGATGGCATAGTTTCAGGCTGCAAAAAGGATATTGCAGGGGACTACGGTTGAGTTTGAGGGTTTGGGAAAAGGAGAGTCTTATTGGAGTGTATTTATTTTCCACTAATTGGACTTATATAGATTCAAGTGGGAAACATTTATAGGTGCACCACTGTGAAATACCCGGTACTCAAAGCATTTTGCATTTCAGAAGATAAAAGCGTTTTCCAGTGATATGTCCAACATATGTAAATAACCTTAAATGGCAATCTTTCCAATACTTTCCATATACCAGAGACTTTAATAAATGCCAGCGATATGAATGTAAAAGTTTGCATCTTTAATTCGATATGATTATAATTAAAAGTTAACAGTATGTTCCTAAACGTACTTTTTACATATATACAAACTATACATAAAGTATCTATCCTCAGATGTTCTTGTTGTGTCCCTGTTGGAAATATTCAAATACAATCTAAGATTGCAACATATTTTCATCTCAAAACTTTCTAATTAGAATAAGTTTTGTCCCCGGCAGTTTCCAGTTGTTGCCATCATTATTTGCAAATTTTCCGAGCTAACGTCGATGGCAGATAAAACAAGACCTCAGCTGTCCACAAGTTGGGACATATACAAACTATATACAAAACCAGATAGGCATGGATACATACATAGTTCCGAGCAATCAAACTAGACAAAAGTTTCTCGATTAAAATGAGCAACTTTTGTGAAATTCTCTTATCTGACAATTTCCGCTGCTTAGCAGGGACCAAAATGAGCAAAACACGCAACAAGAAACTGGATGGCCGGGTGGGGGAAACCGAGGAAAACTCAGCTCATTAAACAATTGGCAGGCGGGCGGAATCGTTGTTGGTCATAAGGAATTAAGCAACCTCCAAGGGTTGCCATGGTCCTGCTTTCATTTCCACTACGTTGTTCCTATCTTTGAGTCTCTCTCTCCGTTTTTTGTAGCAATAAGTGTGTGTGAGAGCATCAGTGGTGGAAATAAGATAAATAAAGGGAAGTTAAAAAATAAAAGTTTTACTAAATGAAAGGTAAATACGGCACACTGTGATTAGTACATCCTTGCAATTGAGAACAGCTGCAGGATATCCCATTATAGAACACGTTCCTTTATACCTTACATTACTAGGATAATTATGAAAAGAAGTAGTTAGTAGAATTGTGTATAGTGTACTATGGTTTACTGCACTGTTTTTATGATCAAACGATCTGTAAATTAAATCAAGTCGAATATTCTAAGTAAACAAATAACAGAATACTTTGGTTTAGTTTTAGGTAAATAGGAAACCACGAATAAATTATATTATTATAGTCTGAAGAAATTATATTATATAATCTAAAGAGAATATTCCTGATTAGTTCTATAAAAATTGCTTAGATTTTCCTACTTTTTAAAGTAATTTCCCTATTATAAAAACAAAGAGCACACTGGTCCAGAAAAAAGAACAATTTGGCAGCACTGCGACGAAGCCTGAATGCGTGTAAGCTTGTTACCATAAAAGTTGGCCATTTAAATGGCCGGAAAACCAAGAGAGCTCCAAAAAAAAGAAAGGAAAATAATGCACAGCCAAAGAGGTGTGCTGCCCTGGGGGAAAGAAAACTTTTGAATTTATTGTGGCCACCGCAGCGCAGCGATTCGATTATCAAAAGGAGAAAAAGCGAAGGAAGAGGAAAAGTTCCCCTCTAATTCTCTCAACCGGATCCGGGGCTATCGCTGGGGTCCTGTCCGGAGGCTCCTTACCGTAATCCCCTTTTGTGGGTCTGCTTCGATTTATTTGTTTCTGATATATTGTTGTCAAGTTGTTTAGTGGCTTAAGTCAGTTTACCAGCACTTGAAAAGAGCTTTAAAACATTTGCAACGCCTGTAAAGGGCATTAGAAATGTTGAACAAGTGCGACATACCGACAGACAGAGGGCAATGCTTAATGACACTCCATAAATTAAAACATAATAAATGTATATGGAGCATTAAATACAATTTGGTGCCGCAGAAAAAAAGTGAGGCGAAAATCCACCACTAATGGGTAATTTAATTTTATTTTCGGTGCTTCGACGACGAAACTTAAATGAAACTCTGGCCCAGCAGCCGCAAACAATAAAAAAATAATAATAATAACAGTTTTGTGTATGCCAGCAGCATCCAGTGTGTGTGGATCTGAGCACTTTGCCGGGGCTTTAATTGCTTTTATGCCTCCACATAAAACTCCTCCCTCAAAATGTGTGTGTCCAGTCTTGTGCAATAATATAATAATACTCATTTTGTGCTAAATTTGTTAGAAATTTATGTGCACACACACACACACACATATTCCTGGCGAAAGTATTAAAATTTGATTCAGCTTAGCGGAAATGCAAAAATGTATAGCATGCTTTTCGGCCAGTTGAATATTCGGAAATCAAATTCAGACAATTATAAAATATGCAGAAAATGTTGGCAAACCCAGAATATTCACAGAATTCTAATGGAAAAGAAAGAGTAATGTAAAATAGTTGAAATTACTCGGAAGTAAACATTTGTAGTAATGTAATGCAATTTCTAATTGAACAGGGACTCTATTCTCTTGATAAATGCTTGTCATGTTTCTCTTTTTTTTTTAGACAATTAAATAATATATAATTTACTCTTCCAGCGGGTTAAACAATTCCGGTTTAAAATTATTGTTTTGATTGGCTGATTTTTTTATGCCGATAAAGATTTAATCCAAGCTAATTATTAAAAGTCAATCGTCCGTAATATCCTTTATATTAATTATGCTCTTCCCTAGAATTTAAATTCCTGTTACAGAAATTAAATAAATACATATATTTTATTTAAAGATTCATGTTCGACCATTGTCAAAAAAACAGCTTGTCGAAATAAAATCCTCATTACTTTTGCCCTATTTATTATGGCTGCCAATCACTTTACTGCAGATTATAGCCATTAAAGTCAACAAAGAAGCCATTTAACTCCCACAACAGTACGAGTACCACAAAAGCTCGTAGCAATAAAAACAAGCTGAAAATATAAAAATGCAGAGCAATAATTTTCATTCATAAACCAAAGTGCAGGCAAACAACAAATGTCGCATATCAAAAGTGGGGGTCCCAAAGTGAAAGACCGAAAGTAACGGCGGCTAAATTAATATTTATGTGGTCGTCGTTGGTGGAGAAAAGAGTCCTGGCTGAGATTTAAGATTGTATGCTTTATGAACTCGCGGCAGCTCAGAAAGAAAGAAAAATTCCGAGAGGAAAGAAAAAATTCGGTGAAAAGTTCCCCTTCTGAAATGGGGTCAGGACACACAGACAGCGTCGTAAATCTCGAGTACCCGCAAAAATCAACAATAAAACTTTCGCTGCTAAAAACATAGAATTCCCAAGATACAATTTTGTGCTTTTGTCATAAAAGGAAAGAGACTCGTCCACCGAGTGGATGAAATAGCAATAGAAACCGAGTACAACAAAGTACGAGGCAGTAAAACTTCAGTTGCATGTAAATTGACAAAGGCAAAGGAAGATGGAAGGAGCAGAGTTACATCCTAGTCTCATCCATTGGCTTTATAGCTTATTTAGTGCAAATTCACATTTCCAATTAATTTTAAACCAATAAAACATCAATGAAAACTTTGCAAGTAAAGTATAGATAGTAAGGTTATCCTACTTCTTTTTCTGCTGTAAACCTATCACCCTTTGAGGACCTTATTTCCATAAAGGAAGTGGCAGCGGAAGAGGACGCTGTGAGGTGTCGCATTGGTGGTTGGGCACACATCGGTTGGTGTCATCGTCTCGCAAATATCCGAAACTGCATCCGCATCCCAGGTGGCACAGGCTAATAAAGCGGCAAAGCGGCTCGTTGACGAAGGGTTGGGAGCAAGTTGGCTCACGGCATGGCAGGCAGGCGCGCTCCTCATGATCCCCGCAAGCTGTTAAGCGAAAGGGGGATGGAACTCTGTTTAGGAGCCACTCCTCGGGTCTGTTTTCCTTTTTCGCTCACCCACGTCCATTTAGGGGAACCCCACTGCAGCCCCGGAGGAGTAGCAGGAACAGACCCAAGGGTATTTGCGGAACCAACATGGACAATGGGTGAGAGGTGTCGGTTCCCGGACTTGTTTTCCCAAAACAAAACTGAGGCTAAGCTTAGTTCAGTTTGGAGATTTCAAGCGAATATAATCGTTTTAGGGGACAATTAGTTACGTCTTGGCCAAGCGATTTAGAACGCTTATTAAAGTTTTTTAAAAAAGTAAACTTATTGATTGAAGAAATATTTTATAAATACCCTTTTAGAGTATTTTAAAATAAATTCAAAAGCTTCTTTTTATATGAAAAGGAGCCATTTCCCACCCTATAAATTATATATATGCTTGTTCAGCCTTAACAGCAGAGTTGATCTAGCCCTGTCCGGTGGAAAAATTAATTTCCTAATTTTTTTCAAATTTTGAAAATCGTTGAAATTGTCAAAATTTGACATAAAATTAAATTTTATATATTTTAAACCTGAGAACATAAACTTGTTAGCCCTATAAGAACTGACACATAAAAGCTTTCCTTATTTAAATTAATACAATGCGTTTATTATCTTTGATCAAAAAAATTGTCAAATAAATATATCGATAATAATCGATTTAAGGAATCTATTTCCGTTTCGATCCTAAAACTCAATTGCAAACTTTATGTTTATAGAAGCTTCGAAAACCGTAGTAAGTTTAATTTTCTTTTTTAAATCGAAAAAAATTAAATTTTCAAGATTTAATATAGTCTTGTTTGCTTAGTCTTGCTTTTCCTGATAACTTAACTGAGCACAATTTTATATTTTTTTCTCCATAAAAACCTAATTGCTTGGCTTTTCCCTCTATTTTGTTTAAATACCATGGATAATTATGTTAAACTTTTTTTTCCCTTAAATATTTGCACTGCAAATACCGTTTAATACTAATTAATTGAAGAGTTTCCCTCCTATACGGATTATTATAACTAACAAGTTAAAATAAAAAGCTATTAATACCATTAAATTATAATAAAAACATGTATTAAATAAAAAATAACACTGTATAATTAATTGATGTGGTATTTTAGCAAATAAAAGCACAGACAGACATTCCACCGCCTGTTAGCCATTAATTCAGCAATTATTTGCATCTATTTTGGAGCCAGTTAAGTACACTCCAAAGCCAAATTCCCCTGCATTTAATGGTTTGAACCGTCATTGGTTAGCTATAAATGTTGAGAGCATCCGCTTTGACAATGGCCGGTCATTCCCATTCCGATGCCCAACAGATACTCACATCCGCATAGGGATTGCCAGGATACAGGGAGAGAGACATAGAGAGAATGAGAGTGACCCAGGACCAAGGCGCTGTTCAAACTGTCGTTCGGACAGGGAACCAGAATCCCCGTGGGTTTAGTCTCAATTCCCCTCCCTTTCCCTTCCTTTCCAGAAGATAAAACCTGGCTGGTTTTTAAAACGGAAATGGTGGAAATGGTGGAAATGGTAAGAAAAAGGCGTTACTGGCCGAGAGCAGGTGATAAATGAGGGTAGGTTGGTTGGTTGGCAGGTTGGGACCTGCATTTGATTATCGTTTAAACAAATATGCAGCTGAAATTGCGGTGGCGAGTTAAATTTACAATGAAAATTGTGTAAATTGTGGGCATTATATTTATGAAGTTTTGGCATGCCACCTGAGGTGGGAGTTTGTATAAATATACATATGTGTACCTGGGTTTAGGCCAAGTCACGCTATTAGTGGGCAGTGTAAGTATTTCATTGCCTACCTTTGTGGGCTGTGCAATTGCTCTTCCCGGAGGGCAATGTTTGGATTGGTCCCCAATCCCCAACAATAGCTAAGGGTGGAACGAGTGAATCGTTGGATACATTTCAATTAAAGGATTTTTCCGCTTCTCGGGGGAAGGAGAAACAAAAAAAAAAAAAAACGGACTGTCAAATGCTCTGGCAGGCAATTCGGTTAAAAGGCGGCCGGAGCTCACGGTTTCGTCCATCTTTTGAAGAGCAAAAACCGTTGACAATTTGCATAAATAAACCATTTTAAATTTTTTGTGTAGCCTCCCCACAACTGAACCCTTTTCTTCTTTTTTTTTTTTACCCAAATTTTTTCCCGAGACTGTTAGTTGAACGATTGAGCGAGGCAGCTAATATTTTTGCCCTTTTTTTTGTGCCAACGCTCAACAACATCAAGATGGAGGAACAATAATAGCGGCAGGATCTGTGGCAACAGCAGGACACAGATTGCGATGATGGGGCCACATGGAGTGAAAGAGCATTTTTAGTTTGGCCTTTTTCCCTTCGTAGCTGAGATGTGAGATGATGGAATGCGCTAAGAGGGTCGTCCTCAATGCCGCTATAATTTCGAAGAAGCCATGGCAAATGAAATATGGACGGGTTTAAATTGGCCATCAAGTGAGCAGATCCCTTCGACTAAGGACTAAGGACTAAGGTCTGGGATGTATCTGGATGGGAAAAAAGGAAAATAAATTGATTCGCTTCGAGTAGGGGAAGCTCTCTCTTATGATGTCTGTGATTTTGCAGTGCCAACAGTAATTTCCGCACCTTTTTGACGTTTTCCTGTTTTCCCTTCGCCCTGACCACATTTTCTGGGCTTCTTGCTTCGTGATTGAGAGCTTGTTGGCTTTCAAATATTTTGTCATTTCATTTATCAAGTGTCATTCTGGGGCCTGGGTCTGGGTCTCTGCGACCTGTCACGTATAACTATTTCTGATTCGGAGGAGCATTAAATCATTGACAGTTGCTTGTGTTTTCAATGGTTATTCTATTACCTTCTCCACAAGGAGAATTATGGTTGTGCAATTTATTATTTCTCTCATCCGTTTCGCCTTTTTTCAGTCTATTTTGTTTTGCCTAAGAGACCGAAACGTTGAAAGCTAATCTATTTTAAGTGGCTGTAAAGCCTTCAAGGATGTAGGAATGTGTCTTGTGTCTGCGTTTCCTTAATGAAATGTAGCATAATATTTTCATTTCGACCAGAGCCCCGTGTGGGTATGTGTGATAAGCGTGTAAATCCCCAAAAATAGCCAAAGACAAGCACAAATCCCACAAGCATATATGATGAGGACGGGCAGTGGGAGTGGGAGTGGCTCTAGCTCCGAATGTGGCTCCAACTGTGGCAGTGGCAAGATGAGGAGCTGGTGGCGACCAATGACCATAAATCCGAGTAAAATGTATTTTGACATTTTGCACGCAAAGCGTGTGGCAGAAACTAACTAAGCGTGTGCGGGCCCGAGCTGGGTCGGTCTTCTCTTCACAAACGAAAGGTCATTCCAATGATGATGAGAAAGGACATCAAGGCAGGACTTCCCATGAAGTGTTAACATGCGATAACAGCGGCAACGAATAAAACACAATGAAGCGCAACTGATGAGGATGCGGTGAATGGGCATTCGAATGCGGGGACCTTGATGATGATGCCTAATGCGAATAGAAAGACCCCAAATCCCAACCAAACCAAATCCCGAATCCAAGTTCAAGTCCGACAACGAAGCCTCCAAATGTCGAAACTGAAACACACAAGTTAAATCGTTTCTGTTTTCTGGCTAGATTTTTTGGGGGAAGTAAATGAAGTGAAATGGCTCGAAACGAATGATAACAGACCAATCAATGTATATATTTTTCTTATACTTTCTCACCTGACTAAAATATAAATATATCAAATTCCTGAATTTAACTAACTTTAAACTTGAAACTAAACATTTTATATTCATTTTTACACTTTTAGAAGTAATTTGAACTAAGAGTCTTTATCTCCCAGCGACATGCTTCGTTCTTGGCCCACAAAAACACATTTTTAATTACCTTTTCTTTTTTTCTTGTGTACACTGCATAAAATGCCAACTTTATTTCACAAAAGCAAAAAAGGGCAACAAAAAACATGTTGGCAGGATCTCAAGCTCTAACCAGTAAACATTTTTTCACGCTCATAAACTCGGGAGGAAAATTGTTTCGGCTACTGCCTCGGTGTGGGTGAGTAGCGTAGAGAGTGTGACATAATGGCGGTGCCAGGCTGGGCTGGTTGGGAAATGGAAAAGTTGGAGGACGAGGACCGGACCAAGAGGAGCCAGCGGGACCAGCAGTGGGAGCCTTGGCCGCACTGTCACGGTCATAAAAATGTGCAAAGTATTTCGTATGGCGCTACCTTCGCCCACACACTTTCGGAGCTAATAATAAGCGAGGCCATGGAAATGGTTTTAATGCATAGGGAAAGCAAAAAATAAGAGGAGGGTAAAAAGAAAAGCTCATGGAAACAATTTTCTTGTTAAGTGGACTTTTGGACTTTACATTTTACTTGCTCCGGCAGGCAACTGTTTCACATTTGCCTTTATTGTACTCAAGTTGGGGCGTAAATTTAAATGAAACACCATTTTTTGTTGCCTCATTTTCCGCGGACACTGGACGCCGTTTTTCATGTACTTCCGCTGATGATGCCAGGTCTGGATTTACATAAGGCTTTAAGCGGAAGTCCCTGAAATCATAGGTAATACCCAAGCCCAGACAGACCAGGATCCTGAGGCTGACAGATAAGGTAAGCTACTACCTCCTGTCTGCGGTCCATCACAGGAATTTGAATATTAAATTGGAGCGGGAAAGGAATCCATTTGGGCTTGAATTCATTTGACCTGAAAATGGGATCAGCTGAACGGAATACACAATTTCCGAGGCATAAAGCAGAGCTTTGACATTTATCTATAATCGAATTGTGTGTCCTTTTTCCCTATTAATTGACTAATAATATTATTATTTCATACTCGGTTTTTTTGCACAGTTTTCCGGCTCGTCTGCCGCGGACATGATGATGTGGGAAAAAAACTGACTGGAAAATGATATTTTTCATATACAATTTAATACGGATATTTCAACTTTGAGCGTTTACATCCGTGGCCTGTTTTGGCTCTGTCATCTTTTTGCCACAATTCAATTTTCGTGCGACATTTGTTTTGGCAGGACATGAAAAATGGTCAAATGTTTTTCTATAATGCGATTTTCCTTAACGTTTTCTTTTATGTGCTTTGTGTTTATGTGTGCGAGCGAGTGGCTTGAAAATGCTGATTGAAATGTCACCGAAAAAAAAAGATTGGAAAAACAACAGATTTGTCCTTTTTCCTTTCTGTTTTCTTTTTTCCTTTTTCACACAGCATTTTGTTGTTTTTTTTTTTGTCCCTGCCTGCCTTTTGTACGCTTTTATTTTAGTCCTGTTTCTGGTCGGTTTTGTTTCGTGTTTGCAGCTGATTTGATTTGGCTTTCGGCCATTGTCCTGACCAACTCTGTTCTCCTTCTGCTAAGCGTTCGCACTTTAATCAAAGAGACGAGAAAAGAATGCTCCGGCTAATCTGCTAAGCGTTTTGTGACCCTTGGGGTATATGTTTTCCTGTTGTTATTATTATTTCTGTTGATGCCGGATGGAGCACTTAACGTATTACCCCATATGCCAGGATGCCAGGATGCCAGTGTTGCTTTCGGTCTGATGAATCATCATAACTAAACACCACACAATGTTACTTAATTGAGATTTTGCTTGTAATTGAAACCGAAAACTAAACTTGCTCTTTGTCTGGCCATCAGAGCACACCCACACAGTGTCCAATTATAATTTAATTAAATTCGAAGCACTTTATATGCAACTATTTTCGGCCCCAACACATACCACACCGCATCAACATTGCTGGCAGTCCGGCATCTCAAAACTCTGAAGCTGGAGTCCTGTCAGTGGTCGGTTTTTGGGGCCAAATGCCGGGCACGTTTCCTTGTTTTTGCATATGTGTGTGAATGCCGCTTAGCTCTTCTCCACTTGGGAAAATGCTCCTCACTCTAAAGTGCAGAAAATATGCCATGAAATATGGAGTTAAAGAACTATAAGCCTCTGCATTGGTACTAGGAAATTTCTTATATGTCTCAAGAGGACTCTGTTTACTCTATATAGTTCTTTAAACATTTGAATTCGATTTAAATTGCATTTTTACTAGCAGTGCATGCCTGTTGCCTCTCACTATGTGCAACAATATGCCACAACAATGAAGCGAGTCGTGCAGCAGGCCGTGCAACGAGGCGTATGAGTGTTGACTGCCGTGTGAGATGGATCTCTGTGTGTGTGTGTTGTGGGGGGTAAAGGGGCGTGGCAGTTCGCTTGGCTTATTATGCCGATGCATGCAAGGCCGCACCAAATCATAACGAATGACAGAACCCATTGTGAAACAGAGGGAAAGCAGCCACCTGCCGGTTAGCTTTAAAACCCAAGTAAAAAAATCAACAGAAAAACAAGTATTCCAAAGAGAAAGCCCAGCTGCATTGAGTCACTTTGCTTTAGTTTATTAGTACGAGATATAATATATTCCCACACATTTGCTTGTGGAAAATTTTTGTAGAAAAACAAACAATGCGATTGCATTGCTGTTATTGTTCAGTTTCTTGTTGTTCTTGGCTCAATTGTTTGCCCATTCATACACCTAGACATTGTCTTTCCTTCCTGGCCATTATTTGACTTGCTCCCATTTCGGTCTGTGCCTTTGCCTTTGCCTATTTATTTATTTATTCTCCTAGGGACTAGAAACAGCAAGCCTTCTTTTTCAGTTCTTCCCTTAATGTGTTTATATAATAAATTTTGACTTTTCTTTCACACACACACACAAACCCTAAAAAAGGGTGCTCAATGAGAGACAAAAAGCTGTCAAAGTCAAAACTTTCTACAAAAAACAAACAAAAAGCAGGTGACTCTAGATATTGCTCATACGTGCCGTTGGCTGACACGACAACTGCATACCCTGCCTCAATGTTTATACTTGAAATTACTAAAACAAAGTGGGAAAAAACTTAGGGTTACCCCTCACACTTTTTTCACAGCTACATCCTTCAGCGGTTTTGGCCAAAATATGCTGGTTGGCTCCATATACATTTTGGCTTGGCATTGCATGCTATTCTTTATGTGATTTTATTTTTTATTTTGTGTTTTTGCCACTGCCATTCCACTTCACGCGTGCTTATCGCACACTCGTGAGGTGCTGACCTCGAGTGGCTCGTAAATAATAGCAGCTGAAAGCGCAAATAACTCACACTCGAAATCAGGCAGCTCGACATCTAAGACATGAAAGCGGCTACAATAATAATTGCAATTATCCTCCTTCTGCCTGCTAGCCAGCAAAGGTAACTTTCAACGACATCCCACCTAGGATTACCTTGATTAATTACGAAAAAATATTTAAGCTCTGCAGGTATGGAACGGAAAGTGCTGTCGTACAATCCCACCTATGAATTTTGGTTCTTTATGCCAACTGGCAGACCAAGTTATGTGCCTCAAAGCGTGAAAGACGTCTATTGGAAAACCAAATCGGTTTGCTACACCGATTTTTGGTTTCACTGCGGGAATGGTAAACCAATAGCGGTGTAAATTGATTTGTTACTGGTAAAAATATGAAACATTGGATGGGCTTAATGTGTTTGTGCAGAGACCTTGTATTAAAAAAGGTATTAAAACGATATTATTATACATCATTCATAAATAAATAATGATTTTGAATCAATAAGAGTGCAAACTATAAAGACATTGTAATGTAATTTAGATAGTTTATTGTAAGGTTCTTGTTTTAAGACCTTATAAGGTTTATGAGTACAGATTACGGGTATATACGATTTGTGATAGGGATTATCAGCTGAGTTAATACGCACAATACTTTCTAAGTACAATGTTTTTACCATCCAAAAAAATTTATAAAATGTCTTAGCAAGCTTGAATTTTATCCTCCCAGTTTCTTCCACGATCCAATTTTATATTTCGTTACTTTTTATGATTTATCCTATTTTATTTCGAAGTAATTGCCCTATATTTTGAGTAGTTTGAAAATCTGGATACTTTCGTCGTTCTTTAAGCATTTCCCAATTGTTTAGTGTGTTTCTAATTCTCCTGTTTGATCTATTTAATAAGGTGCTTCCTATAAATTATAATTGATCATCCATATCTATATTATATTTGAAGCAAAGTAAGAACTTTAAAAGTGAACCCTTTTTTAATAACAATATAAACATTAGTTAAACTTTTGGTATACCTAAAACTATTTCTAAAACCTAATATAGTTCAATCACACATTGTTATTCTAACAATATATAATATAATTCAAATTTAAAGATTTATTTTGCATATAATTTAATTTGAGTCAATATATACTAAAATAGTTAATCAAAAAGAATTAATAGTTTTTAGTTATTGCAACGTTCACGTGTAATGAACGTGATTGCAAATTTATGATTTAAAATCAGCGTAAAGCGTGAACTTGATTATTATAAATAAAACATTTAACTGCCTATTTTAAAATCCAAATTGTATTTTTAGTGCATTTATTGTAAATCTGATAGAGGATTAAATACATTAAAATGAATAATGTCAAAATCACAACGAATTATTTTTGTTTTTTATATTATATATACAACATTTTATAGTGAGCTTTGCAGGAATATTAAAATGTGCAGGGCTTTGTTTATATATTAATTAATTTGCTTAATAATTACCTTATTAACTACGTTTTAGGTATTTTGATTTAACAAACGTATACTATGAGTTCATTATATTGTTATTAAAGCTGAATTTAATATTTTATTTATTTGTTATGCAACCTGAATCTAATGATTTTAATTTACTCATTTTCCCATTATTTATCGATCTTCATTTGTGGTGTGTACATGTTAAAGAGTTTTGATGATGAAAATTCAACTTGCAGTTGGAATTATTATTAATATTATGTTTACTTTGGCCAAGGTTTGGACAAGAATGGAAGGGAAGGGAGCCAGGGAATCGGCAAAAGCAGACATTTTATTGCATCGCCGTGGGGCAGAGACACTGTGAAATAGAGTCCTTCCGAGGAGAGAACATTATGATTCCTCATATACAGTTTCCCAGTTTCGCAGAGCTCCTCCTCGGTGTGCATTTATTTTTTTAACATTTGTATTATGTTGCATCACGCAGAGGAAATGAAATATAAATTAATTTATGAATCAAGGCGATGGCCAGAGAGAGATAAGAGGAGGAAGTGACAGAGGAAGCCGCATCAAAGCAATGCCATTGCGCAGTCAAATTTATGATAAATAACCAAGCTATATGAAATGCAAAACTACAACGAGTATTTGTATATACATATACGTATGTATAGCAGGAAGTTTGAGCTGGAAGCGATTGTTTGGCTTTTCCAGACTGGCAAAAACTTTCCCAAGCAGGAGAATGAAGTGCGTGGAAAATGAGTCATTTGTTGTAGTTGCTGCAGGCGTTGGCGTTGCTCCTTTCGCACAAATAACAAGTCAAAAGTGAAGACAAGTTTCCGACAATCCCCGAAATCCAGCCAAGAGAGTTGAGCGGAACAAAGCCAAAGGAGCTCGGAAAAAGTCTCAGAAATGTTGAGACTTGAGAATGCTGTTGCATGTTATGTTTAAATACATCACTTGTCTCAGTGCATTTTAGCTTTGAATTTCATCCATTCAAAATTTTAAACGGCTCCAGAAAGTATGCAACACTTGGGGGCATCACGTATACGCCATGTGGGTTAAGAGATTCAATTATAAGTTATGTTAACTAATAAGTTTTTATGAATATTTAAAGAAAATCAGGAACGAGAGATGTGTGCGACTTATTTGATTATTTTTCTTAATGAAAATCTTAAGAGTAATACAATTATTTAAATTATTATTTATTTTCTTTCTTTGATGGAGTCTATTATAGGCAAAAGTTTTCTAAAAATATATAATTAAAACTTTATGGAAATTTCCAAATACATATATTTTTTCAATCAACTTCTCGGAAAGTTTTGTGGTGCATCAAAAATATATTTCAACTTATTTTAAACAAATCGAATTGGCATTCTGACTGGCAAAAACTTTGAACCAAATAGGAAAACTAACTGCCAACTAAATGTCTGCAAATCAAAACATATTTGATCGGAAAAAAATCGGTTCTTTGCTGGGGGAATTCACCACATATCTCTCAGGCTCAGACAAAGTGCCAACTAATCTCAGTTTTTTTTGCACACACACACACACACACACATCGAAGCCAAAAAATTGAAATTGTTGCCGTGTGGGGGGGGGATATTGTTCACTAGTTTTTAGTTTTTCAATGTTTTCAATTTATTTCGACAGGTTTTAATTTTGGCTTCGGAATTATAAAATAGTACGTTTAAAGCAATCAAATTCTCTGAGCGGCTAAAACGATTTTATTTCATCTTTCATTCCACAAAATATTTCTTCATTTGTGTGAAACTATGGCCAGTATCAATTGACTTTGCTTTAAATGCATGGAAAATGAAAAGAAATACTGTGGATTTACGTTCATTTCATGTTTATACAACACGCTCATAAATATTTATGAGCATTATGATGCAAAAATGCTGCAACATAATCAAAAAGCTGAGCATTGCAGGGAGGAGAACCACCAGCAACCAAAGCCCAATGCAATCAAATCAGGCGAGATAGAGGTGATGAAGGACCCGCTGGCGGGTCTTTCGAGGAGCACAAGCAGCATCCTTACGAGCAGTGTGAAAATTATACACCGCTGACAATAAAAGACAGCCACCCGGAGTGCTGGCGGTTGAATGCAATGTCATAAAAGATTCCTTGTCTCGCATTTCCTTCCTTCCTTCCTTCCACAAATCGAAGAGGGCAGCGTGATGAAAAAGGTGAAGTATACGTACAGGTGCGATGGATGGATATCCCCCAGCTCACAGCTGGTCAACGTCAATGCGACAAATATGCAAAATATACAAAAATGTCGATGAGCTGGGATTGCTTGTGCACTGATGCGTTCAAATGGGATTTCTGAATACCAATTTACGAGAAATCAGCAAGGGAAATCGGAAATGTAGAAAGTCACCAAGGAAAGTAGTGATGATGAGCATCGAGAGTGTGAAAATAGCAAATCAGCTCAATACTTAAAGGATAATGCAGCGAGACCAATTAAAAACTAATTAAGAAGTCGAAAAATTGTATATATTTTATATTAATTGAACCATTATTTGTCTAAAAAATATCTAGTAGGGGTTTTTGGATTTAAAAGTTCAGTATTCACTAGCATTTTACCCCGTTAAGATCTGAATTTCCTTCGCTTAACTATATATTTCCCATACATCCTCAAAATACCTATCATTTTGCTTTATTTAATCCCCATTTTGAGCTATTTAAGATGAATTAAGCTCAAACAATCGCATAACCCCAGAATTCCTTTGCATACCAAAATGAAAATTTTATCTTAACCAAAAATAAATCTCCCCTGGTATGCATCATGATTCCTCCTGGGCTTCATTTTCAATTGCTAGCCATAAAGTTGGAACCATAAATAGCCGCAAAAATGTTGGGACAATCCTCATATGGAAGCCAGCGCAGAAGAATGCTCCTCACGGATATTTATTCCATTACCGAGCAAGTGACTTTTGTTTTCTGTTCGCCGCTGTTGCTGTCCAGCACAATGAGCTATTGCCCTGCGACCGGGATTGGGAAGTGACTTCGCCTCCTCCTCCGGCTTCTGTTTGTGTTCCTGTTCCTGGTCCCATTCCGGTGGGATGACACCCTCTCCACTGTCCGGTTACCATTCGTTTTGCGGACGGAAATTTACGATTTACACGTATGCCAACTGCAATGGCAACTGCAAATGGGAATTTGGGGGCAAGGATTTGGGGAGTCATTGCTGCTGGTCCTGCTGCTCCTGCTCCTGATGGTGGTTGGTGGCAACGATAATGGTTTCCAGGCAGCGACTGTTTTCCCTGTTGTTTTGGGATTGGTAAAAAGAAGCAATCGCTTATAGTACAACAATGGCAAGTGAGCTCCGCGGTATGCAATAGCAGTCTCAAGTATATCCAGCACATGCCACACATCAAGCGGGAGACAACAATTATTGCCAAGGCTGACAACAATAAAGGTGGGGGGTGGAGAGAGATGGCATTGAAATTCAATTTCATTGTTGTGCGGAAAAACAGCACACCAAAACGGTTCCACGGCGGCAGTCTTGGGTGCTGCTGCTGCTCCTCACTGCTGTTTACACAATCATTGTTTGCATGGCCAATGCATTTTCCTTGTTCGCCTCTCTCTTGAAAGGAGGAAAACCAGAATGGCTAGGATGAAACCGTTGCCTTCGCTGCAGATTTTTGATTTATCGCAACGCACGTACCAGGAATTCGAACTGCTTCTGCTACTGTGTTGTGTTGTTTCATGCAAATTTCTACTCGGTTTTTCCTCCTCTATCTGCTTTTTTTGTTTTGCCTAGCATAGAAGCAGCAAATTTGGTCCTGTGCTGGGGAAAAAGAGTTGAGCCAGCAATTAACAAAGGGGGGAGAAAATCTATTGAGGGAATTCAGGCAGGAAATTAATGAAGCTAAAGTTGATAATGGGGAAATGTTGGGGTTGTTTGATAAACAATTTAAAATATTTTCGGTTTTGGATATCCAAGAATTCTAGCAGAACTTAAAGCAATCGTAATCTGAAAATGTTCTTAAATATTTGTCTCTCTGGTGAGGCTGTCTCAAATAAAAACAAATAAGAAATAATGAAAAATCAAACATGGCATGCATGCTATAATATTTCTG